CTTGCAGCAAGCTGGGACTGCTGTTCTTGTCACTCAAAGTCTGCCTGCAGGTTTGGCACTGGCTGATTCAAGAGCAAGCTTGAAGAAAGGGAAAGATCCCAGACCCAGTCCTCAGCACTGAGGGGACAAGGCAATTCACTGCCTTCTCAAAGCATCAGCAGATGAACACACACATTCATTACGAAGTCTAATTAGGTGGTAGGCAAGTGGCATTAATCATTTTTTACTACTATACCTGGAATTCAAGTCACCGCCCCTTACTCCATAATCAGAAATTTTCATGCTCTGATGAATGGAGGGTAAAATTAGCCTAGATTTAATCCTTTCATTTTCATCTTTTGAGGAGACGGGAGGTAGGGAAAAGAGGAAATCTGGATGTGCAGATTGGAGGATTCAGAATGCCTCTGTTGTCCTTTCCCCATCTTCAACACACACTCTCCAAAAAGTCTTTTCCCAAGAAGACCGCAATTAGAGCCAGGAGAGAGGCCGACTAAGGGTTCCCCTGTCATCTTTAACAAGACGTTGGTTGGTTTCAGTGCCCAATTTTCCCAGCCTCCAAAACACAAGCCACATACTTGAGCACTGCTGAGTGTACTGAGCAAATGCCTTCTGAGCGTCTAGAGTCAACACAGAAGCTGCCAGGACTACAAAGCACTTTCCAAGATTATTGCAATGAAGACCTTTCAATGTCAGGGTCAGGGTACACCTCCTGTAAAGAGGCCATAACAGGGGCTGGCTCTGTAGGATTGGTGGGCTGCCACCTGGGTGGCTCTAATTCTACAGAGAATCTAGTTAAAGCCAGCCATTAATACAACAGCAAGAATTATAGTAGTCAAATCAGTAGCTCTTGTGAGACACCAGCAGCTCTCAATAAAAATGTCACAGTGCCTCTCCTTAGGAACACTGCAGCAAACACCCCGTTCTCACACTGTATCAAAGTCTATCAATGGAGGGGAAGGTTGAAGGATGAACTTCGTGGCCCCTCTTCAATCCTATCATTCCAATTACATAATACTCATGACTGAATTAACTGCTCCTTCAGAGACACTTGTTCCTGGAACCAACCTGGGATACCCAAGTATCAACAGCTTTCAACAGATGTCTAAAGCTCTCTTCCCTGGCTATGAATTGGACTTGGTTTCTCCAAACGCCAGACCACTCCCTGGCCCAGGATGGTTCACATACCACTCAAAAGCAAAGGGCCATATTTATGTGCCTTCTACATAAGAAAGGGCAAGGGTAGCTGGAGTCCCAAGTTATTTGCTGTTGACTGTTCTCTCTGGGAATGCTTGAGTTGACTTCTCACCATGATAATCCACCCCAAAATATACCACTCAGTCCTGCAACCTTGTTTCTCTGCTGCTTTCCTCTATGTATATTTGGGCTAATCCCATTGAATTTCCTTTATCTAAAAAATTTGATTTTGTGTGTGTATATGTTTGCAGGAGCATGTGTTGCGCATACATGTGTGTACAGGTGCATGTGGAGGCCGACGTCAACATCCAGTGTCTTCCTTTTTCACTCACCACCTTTTTTTAAAAAAATATTTATTATTTTTATGTGTATGAGTGTATTGCTTGCATGTATGTGAGTGCACCCATGTTGTACAATGCTGCAGAGGTCAGAAGAGGGCTTTGGATTCTCTTGGAACTGGAGTTAAGAACGGTTCATAGCCACCATGTGGGTGCTGGGAATCAAACCCGGGTCCTCTGCAAGAGCAGTCAGTGCTCTTAACTGCTGAGCCATCTCTCCAGTCCCACACCACCTTATTTTTGAGACAGGGTCTATCATCAAATCTGGAGCTCATCAGATCAGCTAGACTGGCTGACCAGCAAGATGCAAAGATTTTCCTATTGCACTGCCACTTGGACTTGTTACCCAAGTGCTAGAGACCCAGACTCATGTCCTAATGCTTGCATGACAAGCACTTTACCAACTGAGCCATCTTTCCAACCTTCTAACTTAATTTCTTTAATTCTGAGAATTAGCATTAGCTCGGAACTTTGGTGCTGCTAAATCCAGTGTTAACCAGAGCTGTTACAGATCTTGAGATAATGCTAAGCTTAGGCTAGGCAAGGCAGTTCTCCAAAGCTTCCCTTACTGAAAGCCCACTTGCCAATGAAGCCTCCTGAATAGACAGATGTCACTCACAGGCCTACTGTCCTCTGACTTGTTTCTAAGACCAGAGAGACTTAAGAGTATGAACAAGCTTTCATTTCCAACTACCATTTACTGAAAACCAGGCCTGGCATTTTGCTGGCCACAGGTGCTACACAGACAAGGACCTCTTAAGTTAAGCATGAAAGAGTCGGCTGCTGGCATTCTGTGAGGATGTTCCTCAGTCCCAGAAGACCTCCACCTGAGAAGCTAGGCAGGGATGTCATTTCTGAACTTCCAAGATATACTTCTCACTTCCCCATTAAACTCAATAGCTAGACAAGTTGAAAACTTTACTCAGTGCTTAGGAGCCATTATGAGCCCTTGCTAACTATTAGAGCTCTTGAATGGGAGGTGACAATATAACATTTACATTGAATTAAATGTTTATCATGCATTCCACCAGGCACTTTTCTAAGCAATTTACATATACAGGATCAATCCATTGAATTTTCACATTAACTTGATATAGTAGATAAGATCATTGTTCCCATTTTTAAAAAATGAGTGAAGGGAACACAGAGATGCACAGGATCACACAGAAACTAAATGGCAGCCTGGACTCAAACCTAGGACTCTGGTTATGGTCTGAGATCTTTATCACTATACATTATTGCCTTTGTGTGTGTGTGTGTGTGTGTGTGTGTGTGTGTGTTATGTGTCTGTGTCTGTGTATCTATATATGTCTGTGTGCCTGTGTGTATCCAAGTAGGCCAAGCTGACTGGCCAGCAAGCCTCAGGGATCTACCTATCACCAGCTCTCCAGCACTGATATTATAAGCACACACTACCATGCCTGGTTTTATTTTTTTTCACATGGGTTCTGAGGATAAAATTCAGGTCCTTTAGTAAAGCGACTGCTTTACGGACTTTAGGGAGCTATCTCCCTGCTCTGGTACTGCCTTTTAAAAAGTCACTTTTCTGATCATTGCTTTTCAAAACTAAGATGAAGAAAACCAACCCTCTCATGGAATTAGACCTCAACTTAACACAAGATACTTGGTGAGTTTGTCCTGCTGGGTGAACTTGCACATCAAAATTTTCTCAACTTTTTCCTAGTCACTAACACTTATGGTGAGTTAAATATTAATAACCACAAACAGGCACCTCTCTGTGGCTTCTGGGCTCCAGTTCTACTGCCTCTCTAGTGTTCAGACGTCTGTTTGGTATGAAGCCAACTATGTAGGGATCATGGGAGCCTAAGAAAGCGAAAGGAGTTCAGCAAGTCACAAGCCAGAGGCCCTGTCTGTGCCTTTGTCCTCCTGTCACTGGAAACTATTTAGGGATGAAGCAAAGGAAACAAACAATTCTAATGTGGCAGCAGGGCACCTTCATTTAGTCATGGAGTATCGCACAGATGCTCACACAGAAACCCACAAATATATCATTATTGCCAACTGGAAGAATATCATAAAACTAGGTGTAAAACTGATAGTCCTGCAAAGTCTAAATACAAGTAAGAATGCCAACAAGCATATTTTCACAGACACTGGCGATTTCTGGAATTGAGCATAAGAAAACCCTTTAGCGTGCAAACACTGTCTCTTCCTATGTTTAGAATTGGTGGATGCAATAAAGCACCCAGGACCATCAAGGGAGCACACACTGGCAGTGTATCCAAAGGTAAGCTGCACTGGATTCTTCTGCAGGTCAGAGGCATGGGACACCAGGGACAGCAGCCCTTCCACACACAGCAAGGCTCTACACCTTCAGCTCTCTCCTGAACAGGCACTGAATAGGGGGGTTCTGGTGGTGGACAAAACAGCACCCATTTTCCCCTTCTGCTGGCCCTGGCAGTGGTGAGAAGGAAAGTAGGGCTTTCTTGACAGGGACTAGCTGCTGTGGTCTGGTGCAGCAGCCAGAGCAGCTCTGGTGGGGGAAGGGCCTTTGTAGAAAGATGCAACCACAATCCATTTCCAGAGATGATTGCTAGAGACTGTGCCATTGTCTGTGCTGAGTGCTTCACATATTTAAAGTAGCTACATAAACACATGGCTATGGGTATCCTCTGCTAAGCTGGCAACAGCAGAAACACGGGTTGGCTGGGAGAACACATATTAAAGGAATACACACACACTCTGCAGGGGTGGGGGGTGGATAACCCCTAAAAAGACTGCAGATTAGCTCAGAAAGTCTCTGCACAGGTGCTCAGTGTTTCAGTCAGGATTGAGAAAAGCTGCCAGCAGGCACTAGGGGTGCCCTAGAGGAAAGAATCCAGCAGGGAGTACAGTCATTTTCGAGCTGGACAACTGGTGCAGGAGCCTAGGAGAATGAAGGGGAGGATGATGAAAACACTGGACTCCAAAGGATTGAGAGGCTAGGTGTGGAAGGCTGAAGCCGGCCCAAGTCCAGGGTGACCTTGGAATCTTTCAGCATCACAGCCGTTTCCATTCTGAGCCTAACCAGGTCTCCTATGCCAAATACGTCCCCTTGGAGGAAGGGTCTGAGCTTGGACCAGAGGCGACTAACAAACCATTTTTCCATTATAAGGTTCAAATGGTCACCTCGTTATCAGTGTCACTACCCAATTCCAAGAACTTACAACTAAAACAAGAGGCTGTATGGAGAACAACTGAGTGTCCTTGTGGAGAGACATCAACCTGCAAACAAGCATACCTGTGTGCATGGGAGTTTGGGGGCACGTACCTGTCACGGGTAAGGAACCGCACAGCATAGCCGCAACTGGTCCGTGGGCATCCACTCAAGGATACTAGGCAGGGTTACCTGCCTACAGTTCGGGTCTCCCTGGGGGCCGCAGAGGACTGTGACCTCCCCGGCCCCTCATAGTCCTTCACCCCTGCCCTGTGGTCTCCGCTCACCTCCCCTGCCCCGCCCTCACTCACTGGCGCAGCGCAGCGCCTGCCGCAGCACCTCTCGTCCGCACAGGTCGCACCAGCCGGGGCCGCCTCGAAGCGCCAGTTCCGAGAAACGGTGCCCCTCGCCTCGCTCCGCTAGGACGCGGGGATCCCGCGGCTGCTCGAAGATGCTCCGCACGTCGCGGGGCCGGGGCGCCCCAGGCCGCCGCCGCAGTCTCTGCTGCAGCCCAGGCCGGAGAGGGCGGGCGGGTCGGCAGGCCCGCGGCTGGGGCTCCGGGTCCCCGCGCGCTGCCCTCCGGCCGCCGCGCCCCTCACTCACCCCCGGCACAGGGACCAGGGCAGCGGGGACGCAGCGACGCGGGCGGCCGGACTCGGCGCTCAGGCTCTGCAGATACCGCGGAGGCTCAGGGTCCAGGAGCAGCGGGTACGGACGCTGCCCGATGGCCGGGGACGCCATGGCCAAGCCAGGCAGGCGGCGGCTCCCGAGCCGGAGAAGGGGCGGCCTGGCCGCGCGCGCCTTTAAAGGGACCGCAGCCCGCGGGGCGGGGCGGCGCAGGGCGAGCCGCGGGGCTCCCTCGGACCCGGCGCGCACGCTGGTGGGCGGGCCCCAGAGCGCGATTTAGGGGCGTCTTCGCGGAGCCGCTCAACCCTCGGGGTCGTAAAGGATGGCGCATCAGAAAGGCTCCGAGGCGCCGGCTTTGGGGGCCCTCAGCCTTCAGCCGTGCCTGGTTCCCTGCCCCACGTCTCCCACGCCCCAACACGCCGATGGCAGGGAGAGCGTGGGAGGAAGGGCTTTGGTTAACAGATGGGGCCTAGGCACGGCCCACCGTCCGAACCGAACCCCGCGGCGGGCAGGACTGGGACACTTTTCCTCAGCACCCCTGTGGTATAAGCTGCTGCTCTTTTCCGAGTATTGGGGTTGGGGTGACTGGTGGTGATCCTGGACCCTGGATCATGAGAACGCTCAGTGCCCCGCAGGTTGACAGAAGCTTTTCCTCCAAGATTAAACCTTTTCCTTCCCTTCTCTGCTGGAGTAATTGCTGTGGAAATGTCAATCACCTAAATACCCGGTTTTATTCCTGGTATGGAAGGCTCACTGGAGTCACCCGAAGAGGTCTACCAGCACCAAGATTTGTGGCCTGGCTTAAGGTTCTGCTGTCACCATCTTGAAAGTCCTAATTCTTGAACAAAGGTCCAGGAATTTTCTTTTGGCACTGAGTCATGAAAAATTATGTAGTTGTTCTGACTAGCAGGTCACGCCCACGGCCCCATGTCAAGGGAGAGAAAGCAAGTGGAGTTGGGCCCTATGTTGTTGAACCTGTGCCCTATTGCAGGCCTGCAATGATCCCAGGCCTTCTCTAGTCTGTTTTCTTAACTGCAAGTACAATTGCTCTCCAGTTCCACTATTCTGACTTGGGCACCCTTCCCTCTTACAGCACAGATTTGATTTGCTTGATTTAGTAGAGGTCACCAGCAAAATAAAATAATATCCAAGTTCAACAAACCACTGATAGGAGATACTGGGGGCGGGGAGGGAAGAGGCCCCGTGTCTATATTGAACGTCCACACACTTTTTCTTGGTGTTATTCACTAAACAATACAGTATAAAAATAATTCATATAGCACTTACATGGTATTGGATGTTATAAGCAATATAGAGAAGGTTGAAAATGCATAGGTTGTCTGCAAATACTACGCAATTTTATAAAGGGTCTTGAGCATCCTCAGAGTTGAGTATTTGGGGTGGCAGTGGTGTGTGTCTGCGGGGAAGAGAAATTCTGGAACCAGACATGGAATTGTCTAAATTCTCCTAGACCTGAATCTCTCAGGGTTCTTTCCAGGCAAGAGATGGGTCTCTTCCTGGTGTTTGGTTGGGGGAATCCTCATTTTTTATTTTGTTCCCTCTCCCCAAAGGTAATTTTTAGGAAATTCCTAAAACTCTAGGGTCCAATGGCCAGGGAATTCCCAACCTTCTTTGCTCAGTGGCTTCTTGAGGTGGTAGTCATCAGAACCTTCTTCCTCCCAAGTTTGTAGCAGAGAACAAGTTCCTGGTCTGGGTCTCACTTCATAAACTGGTACCTGGGTAGATGAGAAGCATGACCGAAGTGCTACAAAGCAGGCAGAGCTGTGATGGGGTGTGCAAGACACAATGGCTCCTACTCCATGCCTCGTTCCTCTTGATTTCTCTACATAAGCGCTTCAAACCTTGGCAGCCAACCCTGGAGGGTTTGCTTAGCTGCAGCTTGCTGGCTGCCCCCTAGAGTTTCTGTGTCAGTAAATCTAGGCTAGGATGTGAGGTTTTGCACTTTTAGCAAGTTCCCAGGTAGCTTTGGAGCTGCTGGTTCCAAAGGACCCACTCTGAGGACCGCTGCTCTGGGGGTGAGGTGGGGATAAGGAGATGGGCTACCCTGTTCCCTTCCTCTAGAACTGGCAAACTTTAATTGACCATGACTGGGAAACTCCAGCAGGAGACTGTTCCTCTGTGCTTTCTCTGAGTGTGTGAAAGGGAAAGTACAACCTGCTATTAGAGCCTTACTCCTCCTACTTTTTCTGCAAGTGTCTCTGTCAGAGTTTTTACAGAAACCTGTTTGCATATAAATAGTTGCTTGTATCTACCCCCTGTTAGCCAATCCATCTCCACAAGGTTTGAAATTTCTCCAGAGACCTCTCCCTCTCAGGGGTGCCATGTGTTGGGTGAGATCCAAGGCACAAACCCAGCATGAGCTTGGTGTGACAGTTTGGTGTATCAAGCAACAGGATTCTGGTAAGAAGCACATCACTGGAAGACTGGTTTTGAGATGTCATTTATGAAATGATTGCCATCGATCATCACCCCTGTCCTCCCTATCCCCAGCCCTTCCAAGTATCCTTTGGACCCAGCTCAGATTCTCTGGGAGGGAAAGGTTGTGTAGATGGGCATCAGTGTTAGCTATGAGAGACTGAGGCTGGCTGGGACAGTCAGGTGCACAGCCTTCCCAGGTGTTGAGATGCACAGAAGATGCTCTGAGTTTTGTTTACTGTTTACTGTTGTTCACTCTGATTTGTGGAATGGTGGTGGCTGCTTTCGGCACTGAATCAAGGAGGAGACTGTTTGGAGCCACAGCTTCTGGGATGGAAACAGATGAAAATGGAGATAGTGTCACTTCATGTGACCAACCCAAAAAGTTTATCAAGTTTATCTTAATATTAATCTTCCTGAACCAAAGAATTAAGGTCAGGGTGGGGTAGTTTCCATCCCTCAACATGCGTGGGACTCACATCCCTAGACACTACCTTTCCCAATCTAGTCCCCTCCTACCCTAAAACCACATCCCCTTACAACACACACACACACACACACACACACACACACACACACACGCTCGCACAATCACTCATTCCTTCTCCAGGGAAGTGAAATAAAATACCAAAAACCTCCTCTAGTTGCAGGGGAGAGACATTGCCTGGACAGTAACATTTTTTACTCTATCCTGGCCATCCATGTTACATGGGTAACAGCACCACATCTACTGAGACACCCCTGGGAGTTTTCTTCTCTTTAGCAAATCTTCTTAGCTTAGAGCTGGTAACTTTCTGGTCGTGACACATTCCCAGAAGAGTGGGCATGCTGCTTTTATTTTTGACCGAGGGGAAGGATATGGCAATGGATTTGAATGTGTGTTCAGTATGTAAGATCACTTTAGAGGTGGTTTCAGAGCATGCTGATTGCCCTATTGGATGGGTTCTTTCAAGACTGCCTCCCAACCTCCTTCTCCAACACCATTAGTAGGAAGGAAAAGGGAAGGACAAATGTGCTTTATTTATGGTTTTATTTGGCTTTGAGACATCTGAAGTTGCCTAATAGGAAACTCTGGGAATACTGACAGTTTTATACAGGATTACTGTGTCAGTCAGGACAAATTAAATTATGCTGTAGTAACAAGCCCCATATTTCAGTGCTTTTAGACAATGGAGACTTCTTTCTCACTCACATGTCTTGTTGTACACTCTGCTTAGGTCACTCGGGCGCTCCTGCAGGTGACACGGATTTCATATGTGTGGCCAGTCACTATGTCACAAGGAAATCAAGAGCCTAGAGGACCCACTTTGGCATTTAAAAGTCTCAGTCACTTCATTACAAGTCACAACCTACCCAATGGGAGCTGGAGGTGCAAATTCACCATGTGCTCAGAGCAGGAAAAGAGAAGGAAATAGGGGACTGGAGAGGTGGCTCAGCAGTTAAGGACACTGGCTGCTCTTCCAGAGGACCCAGGTTCCATTCCCAGCATCCATATGGAGGCTAACAACCATCTGAAACTCCAGTTCCAGGGGATCCAACACCATATCTGGCTTCTGCAATTGCATGCATGTGGTGCACTTACGTACATGCAGGAAAAACACTTGTACACATAAAAATAATAAAATTTTTTTTGGTCTTTTTGAGACAGCATCTCCCTGTAGCTCCAGCTGTCCTGGAACTCACTGTATGGACCAAGCTGGCCTTGAACTCACAGATATCCGCCTGCCTCTGCCTCCTGAGTGCTGGGATTAATGACATGCACCACCACACCCGGCTAATAAAATATTTTTTTAAAAAGCTGGAAATAGGTGGCAATCATCATCAATTACCATGCAACACTCAAAGAGCAGTAATTAATTTCCTTAGCAAGTACTTCTCTAATGTCCACAGTGCACTAGTGCTTGTCCATGCACTAGCAGTCTGACAGTGGGACGGACATGATCATTGAGGTTCCATCTCAATGGGAGAGCCACACAATAAGCAAACAGGTTTCGTATATATGTGTGTGTGTGTGTGTGTGTGTGTGTGTGAGAGAGAGAGAGAGAAGAGAGAGAGAGAGAGATCTTTAAAACTTCAAAGACAAATACAGAATTTTTAGGAGACAGAAGGTATGGGGGACATTGTATTAGATTAGGTGGGTAGGAAAAAACCTTTCCTAGATTTATTTAGATACAACTAAATGGAGCAAACCCCTGTCTGTGAGCAAGAATATTCCAGGCTGAAGGAGCAGCAAGCACAGTAAACCCCAAACTTCCCAAAACTCTGTGAATACTTCAAAGACAAATACAGAATTTTTAGGAGACAGAAGGTATGGGGGACATTGTATTAGATTAGGTGGGTAGGAAAAAACCTTTCCTAGATTTATTTAGATACAACTAAATGGAGCAAACCCCTGTCTGTGAGCAAGAATATTCCAGGCTGAAGGAGCAGCAAGCACAGTAAACCCCAAACTTCCCAAAACTCTGTGAATACAAATGTTCAAACCTTCCCAGGCTCTGCCTGGGGCCAGTGGCACCTTACATTGCTAGGTGATGGGCAAGGACAAGACACTACTGGAGAGTAACACTTCTGTGAAAGTCCCTTGTAAAATGTGGAATGGCCAGCGTTCCTGTTTTACAGACTAGAAACCCAAGACCCAGGCAGTGATGTAGTCACATGACCCAAACAGGTGCCATAGTCTAGCTCCTACTCTACTCAAATCTATGCATCAGCTTTTGCACTGCCTGCCTGGGGTGGGAAAGGGGCAGTGAATAAAGCTCTGACCTGACTTTGTAGGTCCAGCGTAGAGAAGCAGCATCTTTCCCTAGTTTCCTCTCCCTTCTAACATCAGTGTACTTTCTTGGTCAGGTCCAATTGTCAGATTCCACAGAGGGCCTTCTCAGGGTCACCCATCCATCAATCACTCTGCTGGGCTCCCACAAGTCACTGCATCTCAGCTATCACCATCATCCTAATGAATCTGCAGATGACCTTTGACATTTGTCTCCTTCTCTTGGTTTTTTCTGACCCCTTCCTCCCCATGCAGGGCAAATAGGAGGTACTAAATGCGCAATGAAATTAGCTTAGCTGTAGAGTCAGCATTAGTGTCCAGTCCAGGACACATTTCTTCAAGCCATGGCCCCTGTATCCAGAGAGGTGGAAATGAAAGAAACGTGCTGATGCTCCAGGGAAAATGGAAGGTGCCATAAGACCTGCTGGGCTGGGGAGTAACAGGAGGAGAGTTGGCAGCTTGCATGCACCCATCAAGGTACTAATCACTGTGGTGAATTTGCTGCACCCAGATGCTTCTGATGGCCTGAGTGAGGACTGGATAAGCACCATCTCCAGTCTCAGAGCATGACTTCTAAACAGACATGCACATGCACACATGTGCTTGAACAGAGGTCAGAGGACAACTTGTGGAGGGTTGGGGGTTGAGTCACTCTTTCCACCAAGTATGTCACCAATGCCCATTCTCTCAAGAGAATGTTCTTACTCCTTGACAGTACTTAGGGATAAAAAGGGTAGGTCAGGGTAGGAAGTGAGCAGGAGTATGGGGTGGGGGAGCCTTCTGAAAAGTGGTACCATTAGGGTGGGGCACCAGTTTCATGGCACCTCCTTCATCTGCTTGTCAAATATGGAATTTTTCCACCCAAAGCCGTTCTGGCAAGCTTGTGATAAGCCTAGCTCGTGTATATGCATGGATATGCTTTTTCCTTTCCACACTGGGAAAGCTCAGATATTCCAGATTTGTCAGCAACTTTTCTCCCTCAGCCAAAGGGGAGGCTACAAGCCACAACCACTTATACTCTAGTACTAAGCCAGCTCCTGGGCCCCTTGTGACAGCAGGAAGCCATGGACTGGGGTTAGGACAGACTAAGAAACACAGAGTAACTTGAATAATATCATGGGCTCTCCCTATCCTACCTCAGCTGACCCCATCCTACCCACTGGCCCTGTATGTCTGTCTGTTGCACTCATTTATAACCCCCCAAGTGTCTCCTTTTCCCTCTTCTTCCCTACTACTCCCATTTCCTCTCCATCCCTCCCCATCTCACCCTCCTCCTTCCCCCCTTCTTCCTTTCTTCACTCCCATCTCTTCTCTGCCTCCTCCCTTCCTCTCTCTGATGAAGGAGGTAGGGAAAACATCTATCCACTGCTCCACATGGCTATTATTCTATGCTTCCATCCAAGGAACATAAAGTTTGTCATATCCTAGCCTGTTCCTTAACCTCTCAGGATCCCTCCTGCCTAGACAACATGGTGAGTTTGTTTGGGCTGGCCTGGAATATATAGCAAGACCCTGTCTCAAAACAAACAAAAATGTAAAACCCAGAACTTAAAAAAAAGAAGCAAATCATAGAAGCATTTCAGAAGGGATTTCTAAGTGGCCAAGTACAGCATTCCTTAAGGCTTCTGTGCTGAAGAGAGGAGCTGAATGGAAACAAAAGGCAGATGCTGAAGGAGGTTGGCTCGCCCATTGTGGAGATCCATCCTGCCCTTTGACTGGCTTCCCTGGCTTCAGCTGTCAAGGAAGGGCAAGTCACATGTCTAGTCCAGGGGCCAGTCACATGTCCTCTGCCAGACATCACAAACTCTGCCTCACCAAAGAAACACACATAATGCAGATTCCTGGGCCACACCCTCCCCCACCATCTGAATTCAGATACTGGATGGGCCCTGGAATTGTGTTTTGAACCAGTCTCCAAGAGTAAGAAACTGCTCTAAGAAACTGCTCTACAGCCAAACATGGAAAGAACCAAGCAGGCCCTCCAGCACTGCCTGTGCTCTGGCCAAAGAGCTGGAACTGCCCTGGACCCTCCCAGTTAGGAGCTCGGCTTGAGCTAGTCTGTTCTAAGAGGATACCCAGCATAATGCTATAGGGCCTCTTTCCAGATGTATGTGAGCATCTGAGCCCGTCACTCAACCGGAGACCTGAAACATCTGCTTCTCTGCCTTTCTTCATAGGGACCTCAGATCCCGTGAAGGGAGACTTGAGGAGAGACTGCAGATAACACTGTGCCTCAGACACTTTATGGAAACATCTAGTCTATTTCTACCTCACTCTCCACCCTCCACACAGGCACTGAAAAGTGGTTTCTTTAAATACCAGTTGGACTTGACTTAAAACCTGTCTGTTTCCTTGAGGCAAAGCCCACTTTCTTAGCCTGTACAGTCCTGACCTTTGGGGCTGGCTCCTCCCTTTCCATACTTCCTACTTCAGGTTACTGCTCAGGAATGCAGAAATAAATATGTGCCTGTGCTTCTGCCCTTCCCACTGCCAGGTGCCTCCCATGCCTTCTCACCTGCTCACCCATTAAGCCATTAAGCATCCACTCTGGGGTCACCTACTCATGAGTCCTTCCTGACACCCTCCCAGCCTGACCTAGCAACTCTGCCCTGCAATGAGGGTGACTCCATACTACACCTAGCTGTGCATTCCAATCACAGCACCTACTGAATGACAATGAACTTCTGCCACATGCCTGTCTTCCCCCAAAGCAGAGCTCCTTAGTGTCTTTGTCACCTGTCAGGAGCCTGGCATTCCCATCCCCATCTGATGAATTGAATGAGTTCTTTTCATTTTAACAGATTGCTGCAGGAAACAGAGAGGGAAGTTTAAGGATCTTTAAGATACCTGAGGATCTTACAGGCCCTACTGGTTGTGGGCCTCGCTCTGCTCCCTCATGTCCTTCTAAAATGGGATTAGATACCATGTCAGCAGCACTACCGAGCACTGTAGCAGACTTAAGCCTCTGAGAATGTTCCTCAACTTGTGGGCTTTGCTTAAGAGATCAAACCCTGGATTTTGTCCTCTTCCAAACATCTGAATTTGGCTCTTAGGGATTCCCTGGCTCTTTCACTGTGCCACACCAAACATATGGCTCCTAAGCTGCCAGGGAAAACCCACTGTGGGACTTCCCCGCTGAGCTACTGATGAGCAGAAGTGTTGGACTAAATTTCACTCTGATAGAACACACTAGAAAAGGTTGAGTATTTGGTACATCAAGGCAGAAACTGCTGCAGAGGTGGCAGAATTTGAATCCATGGACTTAAGTGACCTCATGGGTTTGAGGCTCAGAGAAAAAAAACATGAAGCAATAGGTCTGACCCAAACAGCCAGCTTTTAGCCCCTCTCCCTCAGCTGGTCTTCCTAGGGAAGTGTGTCCAGGACTCTGCCTTCTTACCTCTCACCCTGCTGGGTCATTAGGGAGTGCAGCCTCCAAGGGTGGGCAGACTTTCATGAAGACATGGTCATTTAGGGTCAATCACTGTACTGTCTTCATGTTTCAAAGCACATAGTGGGACTTCATACTCACCTTCTTCTCCTAATGAAGCCACCTCACTGCATTTCCTCTTCCCTTCCTCCCCTGCCTGTTACAGCCCTGGTTAAGGGAAGGCTGAAGGGGGAAAGATTCAATTTACAAGAAGTTTGCAGAACTTGGAGTGCTTTACCCAGGTACCTCTCTAGCTTCTAGACAAAACAGAGTTTAAGATGACCTATAGCAGTCCTCAAACATTTTGGATACATCCTAATTTTTGAGCAGTGGAGGGGATTGGAAAAAGTAGCAGGTGTTTGGATGGTGGACTTGGGGGAGTTAAAAAAAAAAAGAATGTTTCTTCCCTAGGTCCAGACTGCTTACATGGCTCCTAAAGGGCAGAGAAATGGAACAGCAAGGCGAGGCCTCTTAGCAAGAGGCCAGTTTCCTTGGGCTCGTCCCTGAAATCAGGACCCACTGTGGGAAAGGGAGGAATCAGGAAATAAGCACTCTGCTCCATTTCCCACTCCTTCTCTTCAGGCTCCTCATGTAGCCTTACAAGGTTGTCAAGCATGGCCAGCCCAGCCTTCCCTTTCATTCCCCATCTCAGACACAGCCCAGAGATAGCTGCAGGAATCGGAAAAGGGGGCATGTTTATTTCATTTCTTAAATGTGCAGGGCTGTTCTCTTTTTTAGGGCTCTGGGTTCCAGTTGTATGGCTACCTCTTGACACTGACCAGCTGCATCTCAGAACTGAGGGGTGCCTCAGGGATGGAAGGCAGAGGAAGGATTCCCCAAACACTGGCATTCGTCCTCAACCACCTCTTTTCTCAACCACAGGCTCATTCAGACCAAGAACAGAAGGACGGTCCGGTTCTTGGTTGCCTGTGGCCAAGTGTGGTGACACTCAGGAAACATGGGAAGGGGCTTCCTTCAATTGGAAACCTTTAGAAAGATGACTGAGATTAGGTCTTCTGATCCAACACCCTGGGGGAGACCCAAGTGGCCTTCCCTGCTGGTCCCTGGCACATATAGAGAGGTGGGAGGGCTAAGTCTTTTTTCCCCATGGCCTGCCCCAGTTCAGATTTCCAGAACTAGGTGAGGAAGAGCAGTCTTGGAGCTTAGATAAGGTGGTAACAGCTATGGACTCTCCTATGGGTACTGACCAAGATGGCCAGCAGCTCCTGTCCCAGCTATGCTGCTTTCCAAGGGCACAGGCAGTCAAAGTAATGCTATTTTTCTGGCCAATGGCCAAGAGGGAGGTAGGATGATGAAATGGGACCAGAGCTTGCCCTGGGTTCAGTCTCAGTGCAGGAGAACAGTGTGAATGATTCTAATGCTTCTGTATGCCACGTGCACTCCACGGAGCTCAGACATCAGGTGCTGGTGGGACTCTACTTAACCTGTAAGGAAAGGCACAGGTCAGCTTGGCCCCTCTGTTGAAGAAGCCTGCGGACAGTACCCCAAGGCCATCAGTGTTCAGGAGCACTCAGCCATCAGGTCCTCAACCCTCCTTTTGTAATGTCCTTGTCCCCAGACACTACCTTCTGCTTCTCATCTCTGACTGTATGTTGGAATCACCTGGGAAACTTAAAAGAACTCCATCCTAGGCCATACCTAGGGTGGCTGGTGCAATCTCCAGGCACCTCTCTTGTGGAAGCAACCTGGCTCCAATGTGAATAAATGCTTGGAGGTAAGGGAAAGGGTGAAGATTAGTTCACTGGGCTCTCTGGCTACAGCTCTGAATAAGGAAGTGAAAGTTCACTAAAATAAAGCTTTGAGATATTTGTAAATAGACTACATATCACAGCAAGAAAAATTTATGTCTGCACCAAAATTAGAACTTCCTGCTTACAAAGATTGTTTTTAAAAGTCTTTCCAAGAAGCTGCTGAAGCTCCTCTTTGCCACTACTTAAGGGGACAGAGTCTCCTTCTGCTGGAATTGGACTGGGAGGAGATGCTCCCCCCCATATCCAGGGACCCTCCAGCACTCCGAGGACAAGCCACAGGCTCTGCTCCTGGTTGCCTTTCCTCCTGATCCCAATTCTAGTGTCCCACAGTGACATGACCTCTGGAGAGCAAGGTCATGCCCCACACTGCCTCCCCCTCCAAGTGCCTCACAGATCAAATCTTTCTAGGCTTTTTGTTGTTGCTATGGTTGGCATATTGCATCTTACTTAAGCCCTATAACACCATGTTGTAGGAAGTATGATTCTTGTTTCACATGGGAGAGAGCTGAAGCCAGAGCTGAACACATTTCCAGTGTCATGCAGGTAAGAAGGAGCAGGGTCAGAATTCTGATCCTTTAGGACCTCTGTTGCCCATTTCCACCAAGCCACTGGTCCCCAAATAACAACTGCAGGATGATGGGGAGGAGGCAGAGGTGTGTGTACAGTGTGTAAGTATATAAGCAGTATGGCTGACCTTTGGGTCATCTCTCTGTTGTTAACATGCTTTACAAAGTGGGACTCTGTAAATGTGCTCCAGATTATTTGAGCAGTTGGCAATCCTGGCACCTGTATTTTCCCCTGCAACCTCCCATTCCGATTTTCTTTTGTGACCTTTACTGGTGAATAGAATCCCAAAGCCTGAGTACTGTTGCTGGTCCCCACCCACCCAGGAGGGGGCACTATCTAGAGATGTTCCAGAGTCCCCAGGCAACCTGGGCATTGTGAGGGTGGGCAGGAAGGATGAAGCTCAGGAGATACAGGTTTTGGGCAACAAAGCCAGACTGTAATGTGATTTCAGGGCAAGATGAAAGTAGTGCCCATTCTAAGGACAGCTGTGAGGATCTCAGGGTCATATAGGGAAGCCTCAGGCATACTGCTCACATTCAGTACAGAACTAGACCAGGACAAAAATCCACCTGCCTATAATGGTGCTAAGGCTGTGCTTTAAAGTCTGTGAGTAAAACCTATGCCTCCCTACAATGGTCCCTTGCTTGTGAATGAGGCTTTATACTCCACTGTGGTTGACTAGAGAACTGGAGGGTGCCATGGGTCCTGCATGGGGCACCCAGGGATGCTGCACCCAAAGGCCCTGGCAGTAGGAGGATCTAGCCCTCCCTAGACATAGTCAATGCTCCTTACCGTTCGATGAGGCGGTTGTTGTCTTGGAGATCAAAGGCCAGCAGCTTCATCTCATTACAAAGCTCCTGCATGCTGTCCAAGGCAGAGGCAAGGGTGGCTGAGGCCCAAGTCACTAGACCCAGGTACCTCTTACAGAGCCCTAAGAGTAGCCATTTAGGCCAGGCATGGGGCAAAGCAGTGTGACCCTAACCTCAGCACCATCCTTCCCTCAATTCTTCCAAACTTACTGGGGCACCAGGTCCTTCAGCGCAGGGCTGGGATGAGGAGTCATGGGGTATGGTGAGGCCTGAGCCTCCTGTGTTCTGTCCTGAAGGAGCTGATCAAAAATCTGAAAAGAAGTTATATGTTTAGTTAGAAGGACCAGCCAGCTTATGTATGGCTGAATAGGAGGTGTGCTGTGGACAGGTAAGAGGAGGATAACAAAACTACTCCCACCCTGGATCCTTGGAGTCCCCAGAGCTGTCCAATCTTTCCCATGTGCCTCTCCTTCCCATCCTGGGAGTGCAGCTGCTGCATCTGCTCTCTTTCATCTGTGTTGGACTAAACAATCCAGTCTGCCAAGTTCACCTTTGTGTCTGACCTAAACCTCCCATGACACAATATGAGCCACAAACAGGGATAGAAGCTACCCCGGCCAGTCTCTGAGGCTGCCCACATCACATGCTGGGGAGCCATGTGTGACTGTCTTCTAGAAACTGCCCCTCTACAGTCCTTGTGGCTGGCTAGAGAGCTGCTTAGAAAGCCAAGGAGAGTTCACATTACCACTCAGGAGCAACCTTGGAAGCTCCAGGCTGCATGAGACCCTGAGGAAGATGTTCCAGCATCCACAACACCCTTCCTACAGTGACTTAAAGTCTGGGATGACCAGGAAAGGACCACCTCAGGGTACATTTGTGGGTCAGAGACCTCCAACCCTCTTGGAAATGCTTGAACTTTGTCAAGGTAGCTCCATCCATTGCCGGGGCCGAAATGCCCCTGTCCTCAGCAGCCCCAGATTACCCCAGCGTGCTCACACCTTGCTCAGGCTCTCCTGGGTTTCCTGGGCTTCTGTGTTACAGGTAGCCACAGAACCACCAATGAGATGCATGTGGTTCCGGGTCTTCTGCACCTCCCTGGAGAGAAGTGAAGAATGAGGTTAGATCAGGACATGGCTCTGCTCCTGGGATGTCCCAGCTGTTGTTAGGTCACCATATAAACACTGAGGGTCCCAGGCTTTCAGCACCCTCTGTTCTTCTGCCCTTCTGGCTGTCACTCATCTCTTACCTGCCATGCTACAGACAGATACTCCTGAAGAAGCTGAAGAATTCCCAATAGAATCAAGGCAGGGATCACTGACAACACCCATGTGGGTGGGGATGGGTCACACAAGTGGTTACAGCAAGATAGAGCCAGGTAAGCCTTGAGAGGCAAATGACAGCCCCCATAGGCATTCATGTGAAGAATGCCCAGGCTCCCATTTCCACAACAAATCAAGGGTAAGACTCTTAGGAATTGTAATCTCTTATTTGAGGGCATGACCAGGGGCATTTCTCTACTACACAGAGGAAATCAAGGTCCAGAGCCATTAAATCAACAGTTGGTTCTCAATTATGACTACACTTTGGGATCCATGGGAGTAGCTTTTAAACTACTGATATCTAAGACCTAACTAGGCCTATCAAATCAGAATGTTGGGGGCTGCCAGGCATTAGTAATCTAATATGAGGGTGAGTGGAACTCAGCCTCATAACAAACCCACAGGGCACACGGCACACAGGAAACTGACCTTCATTCTCAGAGCCCCTGTAAAATGGAGCAGGGGACCATGGGGGTCTGCCTGAGAAAGAAGCCCCAAACTTCTATCGGCAAATTCCTGCCGGGACAGTGTGAGAGAGGGTGTGCTAGCAGATACTGCCTGCCCCTGCTTCCCTGCCTATCCAAAGCCCTGCTGTTTATACTCATCCCTAGAGAGAAGAGTTCCACCATAACTAACAGGGACAGCAAGAAGAATCCAGATTTTAGAGGTAGATTTACCTATGCTCTGGTCCTCAGCCTCTATTTACTAGCTATGTGATATTGAGGAGTGACCAGATCTTTGAGCCCCAGTTTCCTCATCTGTAAAATGAGGTGATAATGTCTGTGGTGAAACACTGTAGAACCAAATAAGCAAATGAGTAGAAATCGCCCAACACTGCCAGGTCCACCCATTTCCTTACTTCTCACTAACTCCTTCCTCAGTCGGGCCCTGTAGAGCCTAGGGTCCTTGAGCTTAGAAGAAGGGCCAGGCTGTTACCTTATACGCTTTCTGTGTGTGACCAGCGACGCCTGATACTTCTGCACACACTGCTCCTGGAACACCTGCAGCAGCCTCTTGGCTAAATGACTAAAATTCACCCTGTTAGGACAGAGACACCACAGTCCAGAGATGAGTAGCCAGAGCCACCTGCACATAAACAGCACTCCCACTAGTATCTGTCACAATACCAACCCCGGGGCCATTGTAAGGACACACCTCTTGGGAAAGGGTGGTCATATATTGGGTTCTGAAGGCCAGAGGTTCTGAAGGCACAGCACATGCAACAAGGAGGTAGGGGAGAAGGCTATATGCAGTCAGTGGACAGACGCACACACTGTCAAACCTAGTCCCCAGGGGCAAAGGCGGGATGTACAGCTACTTCAGAGTGCACAAATGTAAGTGTGTACCTGTGAATGTGTGTACGGGGGCCAGAGGTGGTATAGATCTGGAGAGCAAATCTTCAAATAACCACCAGACAAGACCAGGGTGGCCTCTGGAAGATGTGGGTGTCTGGGAAACAGAAGCCATGGGAATCCAGGCAGGCTCAGGCCAAGGTCAGAAGCAGGGAGTAGGAAGTAGTAAATCAGTGAGGATAATTAGGGGCAAAACTCCTGCAAACAAACTTGTTCATGCCGGGAGTAAAGCCAGTTACATCAAGATTGCTTCTAAGAGCCCTCTGATTCAGCTGTGCTGTGTCCCTCCCTAAGCCAAGATAACTTGTCCTGGGTAGTTACCCACTTTGCCCAGCCATGGCTGGGGGTCAAGGCCCTTCACCATTTCCTGCCTGGCACAGAGACTTGCTCTATCTTGATGACCCCCAGCCTTCTACCCTCCTGCCAGCAGGGAACAGGCTACTCACTTATCTAGCTTGTGGATCTGCTCCTCATTGTAGCTGAGTCCTGAAGGAAGCAGATGGGAATGATGTCACTCAGCAAGTCAACAGAACAAACATTAGGAGACAGTTAAGAAGAGGATAGCAGCCTAGGGTGGGTGCTGGTTCATGGAAGCTCAGCGCCTAGGGGAGCCCTGAGGGGAAGAGGGAGTGGAACACCCAAGTAATTTATTACAATATTCTTATGGTGACCAAATAACTGATTATGATTTAGAGACCTAAAGAAGCTGAAGAGAAATGCTATGTGGTGCCAGAAGAGGGCAAACCTGCTGTGCGGGTGGGCATGGAGAGCTAGGAAATGTTGCAGGTGGGAGTGCTGGATGGGATGGGTCCTCAGGCAGCTTGGGCAGTCATGGGCCTGCATCCTTTACCTTCTCATAGTGACTGAGGTCTGCAGCTGGTTGGCACCATCCCTTGGTGTTACCCCACATGGAGGCCACCACCTTCTAACTCTCCCTCCCTAGGATCTTTTGCCAGAGGGAACAACTTTGGGTAGAAGTATCCTTTTCTGGACTCTGGCTACCTCCCAAGGACCCTACTGTTCTTATACTGGGGGGATGCTATCCCTGCTGAGCTTTGAAGGAATGAGCCTCCTGATTGGTGGCAGCCCCAACTAAGAGGATGCAGGCTTGCCCTTCCACCTTCCCATCCCACTACCTCAAATAGCAAGAGCCCCTTCCTGGACCTGCACTTAGCCAGTTGAGAGCACTTGTGAAGACCAAGACATCTGGAAGAAGTCCCAGCCCTGCCTCCTACTAACAGGCAGCTGTGGGAATAACTTGGCTTTGGGTAGGCTGTTTGTTCATCCATTGTGTGCAAACCCAGGATGCCTGTGCAGATCACAAAAGAATACCCTGAAAACCATGAAGCACCTTCCAGAATGGCCTTTTCAGGTGCTAGCAGTGTCTCACTATATAGCCCTGGCTGGCCTTGAACTCACTATATAGACTAGGCTGGCCTCAAACTCACAGAGATCCACCTGCCTCTGTCTCCTGAATGCTGGGATTAAAGGGGTATGACCACACCAGGTTTCATTCTTATTTTTAATAACAACATTGAAAGACCAGTACACATGGAAACCCTTGAGGCTGTAAACAAGCTGGTTAAAAGCAGCTAGACCTAGACAACTTGAGCTAATTAATCTTTCTGTGCCTCGGTTTCCTTGACTATAAAATGGGGAGGATAGTGGTATATGGAGTTTTTATGAGCATTAAATAACTCAAGAACATACAGAGCCCATAGGTTAGTACCTAGCACTGGGGTAGTGTTTGAAAGTATAGGTGATAGGATTGTAGAGTTTTAGCCACAGAGGTGGATCAGTCTCCAAGGCACCTCCTGATACCACAGCAAAGGTAGCCAACTAGGTTTAAGGCAGCCTAGCTGAGCCCCAGGCCTGGTGTGGAGGCCTTGCCTTCCTCATCCCCTTTGAGTGAGGACTGAGGCTCCAGTGGAGAAAAGGCATCTTCTGTAGACCTGCATGTCCACTCTGGACCACCAGACACACCTGACACATGACCAGTGTGACCAAAAGCCACTTGAATCCATTCTATTACTTTAAAATTTAAAGTTGAAGTTGTTAAGACTGTTATCTTTCTTGTTAAATATTTATCTTCCAGATAGAGATATACTGTAAGTGTAAAATACACATGTGATTTTGAAAACTTAGCATGAAAAAGGAGAATATAATCTCTTTAGTAATTTTGTTTAATTATGTGCTGAAATGACAATGGGATACTTTGGGTTGAATAAAATATAATAAAATTAATTCATCTGTTTTTCCTTTTTAATTTAGCTATAAGAAAACTTGAAATTACACATGTGGCTATATATTTCTACTGACAGTGCTTTTGAGATTATCCTGGGCTAGGTAAGCATTAGGCAATAGGGCAGATTAAGACTTGCTTAAAGCATAGGAAGGAACAGAAAGAGGGAGAAGTTCCCTAGCAAACTGCATCTTCCTAAGGCTCTCCCAACTCTCATCCCCAGCCCTCCCCGGGTTCAACTCTCACCCTATGCACTCTGTCCTCAAGGATGATGGCAGTCACCTCAGGCAAGCAGGTTCTCATCCCTAAACCAGTGAAAGGCTGCCACTGCCCAGGTCTTTGTGAACATTTGGAGATGGTGTAAGATAGCCCAGGAACTCTAAGGGAAATTTCCTCTGCTCTTCCTTTCTTGGACAAACAGCCTATTTTGGTGGTTCAAAGAAACAGTGGAGGGGATGGGAAGGTGGTTCAATGAGTAAAAAGTGCTCACTGAGTGCACACAGTGCAAGTATGAACTGAGTTCAGATCCTCAGCATAAGTGTCTGGTGGCCATCTGTAATCCCAATCCTAGAGGAGGTGAAGATGGACTCTAGCTGGCTAGCTAGATCAGCTAAACTGGTGAGCCCTGAATTCAAGTGAGAAACCCTACTTCAATAGATAAGGTGGAGAGCTATTAAGAAAGACACTCAAGGGCTGGGCGTGGTGGCACACACCTTTAATCCCAGCACTTGGGAGGCAGAGGCAGGCGGATCTCTGTGAGTTCCAGGACAGGGGCTACAGGGAGACCCTGTTTCAAAAAGGCCAAAAAAAAAAGACATGCAACATTAATTTCTGGCCTATACACAAAGGTACACACACAATGTGCACCACCTACACACATATAACATACACACAAACAAAAAAAAAAAACCAAAAACTAAAATCACAATGGATAGGAAAACACTCCTTGAGCCCTCCCAGCAAGGTAAGGGGTTCTTTCCAGGCCTTTTTCTGCATTACCCAAGCACAGCACTTAGGTGGCATGCATCCATGTCACTTAAGCTTCTCTCATGACAACAGATGTGAGTATAAAGGCTTCATGTCTCTCAGTGGCCTTCAGGCAGCATGCTGGCAGGGGCTCTCCTGTCTTAGACCAGCTTCACCCTAGCTCTGCATAGCATCATTCACTTAGTGGGCCTTCGGCAACACTGGGAGGAGGGAAGGAAGAAGGACTCCGAGGCCTTTACTCTCTCCACAGCTTACCTGCCTTCATCCTAGATTTCTTGAACTGTTTGTAGATTAAGTGCATCTTGTCCAAACAATGCTGAATCTGCTGAATACTGTGGGCAGACAGAAGAATCGAACAGCACAGAGTAAAAGGTGGTGGTAGGAGGAGGGAAGGCACAGTCTCTTCAGAAGCCACAGTTTGGGGATGGGTGTGATCTGGGATGAGGAGTGACTGTTCTGTCACCAAGTTTATTCAAGTCATCTTAGATCAAACTCTCATATATATTCTATATTCCTCTTTCCTTCTCTCTCTCAATGCAAAACACACACACACACACACACACACACACACACACACACACACACACACACACACACACACACACACACACACACACCCAGTCCCACACAAGGAAGATGAGATGGAGAAGTCAATCAGGACAAGAAACAAGGTGTGTGGGGGGGCTTTGCTTTGCTATATGGGAAGTCTGGGCAGGGCAGAAGTAGACCCAATACCTGTTCCATAGAAGGAACTTAATGAACCAACAACCCTGTAAAAACAATAATGGACCCATGTCCCTATGGAGACAGAGGATACGGAGGTGGCCTCTCAAGGGCCTTGTCAGCCTATGGTTTAAAGTCATTGCTGCTGTCGCTTTTCCTTGCTTTGGGATCTGGATACAACTGCTTCATTTGAGGTTTTGGGGTGCCCTGCCTCTCAGGAAAAATTGTCTTCATTTCCTCCCCAGATGTTTCTAAGTAACCCACCTCAGTTATTTCTGGAGCTGGACTTAGGCAAAGGTGCAAGCTTGGCTCAGGCAACCCCCTCCTGTCCTTTTGAGAACAGGGGAGGATAAATGACTGCGATGGGGCCAGATCTGCAGGATTTACATTTGTGGACTCAGAACTGTCTTCTGAGTCTAGAAAGGTAGCTCAGTGCACACACAGGATGTTGTGGAATACTCTAGTAGAGTAGGGGTGTGGCACCAATCAGATGTACTTGAGAATACTCACCCCAGGTAAGATAGATTATAAAGGGCCTTATGCCACTTTAGGATGGGTTCATTGATGGAACAGTTAAGAAAATCCTATGGTTTTCAGAGTTGTTTGAATTTAGAATTGAGGACCTGGGACATTAGGTCTGTCCATTAGGTCTGACTGCCATGACCAGGGAGGCTTTGGCTCTGCACGCAGCAGACCGTGGTGGGTATTTTTAGGTTTAAGAAAAATGGGAATAGAGTTCTTAAAAAGCTATAAAGCCCCACCTGCTATAAGCCAAGAACACAGGCTTTGGCGGTGGCTGGATCTGACCTGAAGCCCATCTGTCACTTGTCATTTGCTGGTTGTGAGTCAGAGCAAACTGACCTCCCAGAGCAGGGCCTCTCATCTGTAGCAGCAGCACTGTGGCAGCACTGTGCTTTGGTGGACTCAGCGAACTTCTAAGTGAGAAGACCCCTCAGAACACATCCCGGAGAAGGGAGCTGTACTGCTGTGGAGCTTCTACACCTACTGTGCTTCCTCCCTGCAGCTTCCGGCTCTGGGCAGGGCAGGGCAGGGCAGGGCAGGGCAGGGCAGGGCTGTGTTCTTTTTTTCCTATGGCTGGTCTCAGGGGAGGGTCTGGCTCTTTCTTGGATCTCTCTCCCATTCCCCTAGTACCTTACTCCAAAAGAGAGGAATCAGGCTTACTACTGTGCACCTCCCAGTCCCACTACACAGATTAGGAAAATCCCACAGACCTTCTGTCTTTAAGGACTTGATCCCGGTTCTTCGAAAGCTCTGAGCTCAGGCAGCGCAGGCTCATTTGGGTCTCTATGATATTTCCGGAACATCTAGAGAGTACTTCTGCTAACTGTGGGGCCAAAGAGAGGTTTCCATGTGGTCTTCCAGCTCAAGGCTCTGCAGGGTAGACTGACAGAATCACTGTCCCCACCCCAACTTTGTTTCCAGAAGCCTCTGGCCCCCACAAGCTCACTCACAGCTCGTAGCTTGGACCTCAGTTCTGTGGCCCCCTTTAGTTCCTGGAACTCAGGCATGCCAGGCCCACTGCTGAACCTGAGAGAAGTAAAAAGAAGGGCTGTGTTTGGAGGCTGAGGAGGCAGATGGGGAAGATGGAGAGCTCTGTTCCCACATGCTGACACAACTTCTTTGCCAGTCTTGTTGGCTCTCCAGGTTTCTGGGGGAGTTCAGGTTTGAGACAGAAGAAGCCACTTGAAGAGGGACTACACACCAAGGGTGTAACATTGCTGAGCTTTGGGAAGAGTAAAAGTTGAAGCGCCTTGAAACACCTGAATTTATGAAAATGGGCAATGCAAGGTAGCTTTCAATAAATTCCTTGCTAGGAAATTTTATAACTAAATAAAATGAAGTTCTTCTTAGTAAAAATTATATTTATTGACAACCAATAGCACATTGATGGGAGGGTATTAGCTGGTAATATGTCAGGACTTGGCACAGTAGCATTCTGCCCAGTGAAGTGATTCAGTTTTGGGATGAGATCTAACTCAACCAAGGATGACTGAAGGGTGCACATTTGCAGGTGACACAGTAATACCACCCTGGTTCTTCCTTTTCTATGAAAAACACATCTGCACATTTAAGGAATCAAGTGGCCACACCTGTGGTGTGTTCAAGGCAGTACCCAACATGGTCTATGGTATGTTCTAATACAAAATGTTTAACTGTAGAACTCCTAACTTACTAAAGATGCTAAGAAGAAAGAAATCAAACACCAAGAGAAAAAGCTCTATGAGCCTGAGGGTAGGGCGATGAACTTGGACCCTCTAATAAGCCGGTGGCATGAAAAGAAAGGGAATGGAGGGACTTAGAATAAACTTAAGGAACATAACATCAGACATAAAGTGTGGTCCTGGACTGGATCCCAGTTTGGAAAAAGCTAGCTGTAAAAGGAAATTGAAGAATAATTATAATAGAAAAATTCCAATCATGTTGGGTACAGTGGAGATGAGGCCATACTGACATAGACAAGAGAGCCCACTAGCCAAGAAAAGCAGGCTATGAAGCAGCCAGAAATAGCATGCTGGTTACTGTATATACTTACAGAGCAGGAAATGATGGAGAAAGATGTATGCTGGTGACGTATGTTAACCTGTTTCTGGGTGGTGGGAGGTGGCATTTTCATTTTATTTTAGCTTATCCATACTTCCTAACTTTCTTCCATTAGCATATACTCTTTAAATGACAAAAATAATGAAGGAAAGGATCCTGTATCTTTTGCCTTGGGAATTCAAGGTCAGGGAAGAAAGGCGACAGCGAGCAGAAAGACTGAGGGAATCAGAGGCTTGGCTTCAAAAAGGGGGGTGCTCTGTGTTTCACCCTCCAGGCATCTCCTGGGCCCACAGTGTACAGCACATAGCAGTTATTCCATGTGATTGCTGACTTGTAAAGGGAGCACATTTATATTATTGTGGGGAGGGTATGGGAAACCTTAGGATCACTGGGACCAGTCTTGCTGTCCAGGTATTCCTCCAGCTGATGGCATTTGCCAAGTAAAGCCAGGGACCTTCCGAACAAAGGTTAGGAAGGCTGTCCTGCTAAGGGAGGCATATAGTGCAGAAGGGATTGACCAGGAGGACAGGATGGAGCAGTGTGCTGGCAGCAACAAATGTGACATTTCAGGCATCAAAGTACCTCCATTCCATTGTGGGAGAAGCTGGTGGCTGCAACACTTAGAGGATTCTAAGGCCTGAGAGGAAAGAGTGGGATTGCAAAGCACTGGACTGGGAGACCTCAGAGACCGACCAGAGGCCAGGCAGGGAAAGGTGAGGATGGCTTGTGACCCCACTGCAAGCCAGTGAAGAGATCACATCTATGCAGGTTCCTCCTACTCTCCATCCTCCTCCACACACCTGTTCTCCAGACACTGCAGGTCCCAGAGTCTTAGAACCAGAGTAGAAAACTGGCTGGCACCCTTCTTCTCCCATTCCCATCAGTTCAGGGCAAGGGGCAGGCAGATACCCGGCACCTTTCTCTATGTATCTTGAGAAGCCACAAGAGCTCACAAGTGGTCATATTCCTGGGCCCAACCTCTCTCTAATTGGACCTTCTAGGACTTCATGCCTTCCCCATTCTCCTCTCCATCCACCTCTGTTTCTCTCTCACTTCACTCTGGGACATTCATCTCATGGCACCCCTTCCACTCCCTACCAGCCCAGGCTATCTGCTCTTCTCTGGCCTCAAAAGTCTTAACATCTCCAGGAAGCCCTGGTGACTTGGCTTGCTCTCTCTATAAGTCCTTCCCCAGCCACTTCCAGTCCTGTGTGCAGGGTAGGACTGCCTGCACCAGGGTCGTTCAGGCCTTTGTATGGGGCAGGATGTCACATCCTACTCTCTGTGTCTGGGACAGAATGTCAACAGTAGTGCTCCTGATGCGCTCCCACCTGCTATCCCCATCAGTGGGCTCAGTCACAATGGACTCAAACCTGCTATCTGGAGATACTCTCCCAACTCTTTCTGCTCCCTTTCCTTTCACTCCATCATCAGTTTCTGCCAAGCCCCAGGCACACACAGGGCTTCTCTGAGCCACCCCACCCTGGGAACCTCCCTGTACTTGGGAGGAAAAGGGCCAGAGTGTGGGAGGGTGCTTCAGGCTTGTTCCACCCTGGCTACTTCCCTCACCATATCTCTGGGATGGGTAAGGCTTCCCCTGGCCACAGAGCTCCTTCCTCTCACTAGTCCTCACACTGCATCTTTTAGGACTTGGGTTATGCCTACTTCTCAACAGTGCTCTGGATAATGGGTCTTCCCTTGTCCCTCCTCTCCACTCTCCACCAACTCGGTTTCCTCCTTCCCAGCCTCTCTCTCTTTCTACTGCAGAAGGCAAGGACAAGCAGGAGTAAGGATGTAGCAGCTGAAAATATCTGTATTTCAATCACTGGTTGTATGCAGGCATTTTGTATTGGCACAAGTCCTCTCCCTGAATTCTCTCTGAGGCTTGGCACAGGGTGAGTATGTGACATCAAAGTCCTGGTGAACAGAGGCCCTTCCTGGGGTGGGGGTGGGGAGGTATCGTCCTGGATCCCAGAGAGACGGGCCTCGTAGCTTTCTTCCTGCAGGAGGCAGAACTAGGCTGGAGAGGGACACGTAGTCATTTGGGAAGTTGGGGGTGAGGGTCAGGATGAGAATGCCATGGCAAATGTTGTAAGGTGGAAGGGCAGGACTCTGTTTGGGGGAAGACCAGACATATTGCTGAGATATCAGGGATGAGGAACAGAAAGGAGACCAGAGCAGGACACCCACCTCTTAGTGTCCAGGCTGCTACTGAGGAAGAGGAGGGCTGTCTGTGTGACTTCCAGTGTCTGCTGGCACGTGTTCTGAAGGACCTCCCTATTTGAAGGCAGTCTAAGTCAGAGCCATCATAACCAGGGCACCAAGGGCAACATGAAGTAGGTGTGGCCTCAGGGTGGGACAGGAGAGTTGTGGACGACCTGCATGCCTTGCTCCCCTCCCACCATCCAGGGTACTCACAGGACCCAGTGTAACCCTCGAAGCATCAGCTCCTGCCCATCCAGAAGGACTTGTGCCAGCCACAGGGCCTGGTAACCTGCTCCTAGGACCCCCTGAAACATACAGATGGGCAGGGTCAGGCCTTCCCTTGTGCCATACCCCCTTCTGCCACCTAGGGGCTGCCCCTCACCTTAGCTGTGCTGTAATCTGCCTGCAGGTCCACCTTGGGGATGAATTTTGGGACATCCAGAGCAGCTGTAGACAAAGACCCTGTCTGAGGGGACTGTCTTGTGGTTCAGATCAACTCTGAGGCCATATTTCCTTGTTCACAGTTCACAATCACCCTTCATTGCTGACCCCCCCCCCCACCTCAAGCTTCCCAACTCTCCTGGTGACCGAGCCTTGCAAACCTTGACCTCACTGACCTGGTGGGTCTTTAAAGTTACAGTTCTTCACTTCCACCTTGTGGTCACTTCTGAGAACAACACCCTATAGCTCAAAATCCTGCCTCAACAGGCAGAAGACCAACTCTACTCTCTCGTGATGTTAATGTCCCCTTTCTTACCTCAGATAAGGCCTGATTCAGATGGGAAGGACTATTTTTTGCTAGGATTTGAAGAAACACAGCAGTTTTGTGCTCCTGCCCACCTGCCCTTCTCTCCAGTAGCTTGGGCTCATGCTTCTGTCCATTAAAACTGCCCAAAGCAGCCTCATCAGTCACTGAGACTGTGGAGGACACAATAGCTCCAAAGCCCATTTCTGCTGGAGGATCTGAAGAAACTTTGGGGTGTTAAGCTTCAGTCACACAGCGCTGCAGAAGCACACATAGAATAAAATCCATCTGCTTCTACCCCGTAGGCCAGACAGTCACTAAGAAAATCAATTAATGCCTGGATCATAAGTTCATGTGTTCGGGTAGAGAATGTCTCAGGGATGCAGCCTGAGTGGCTCTACTCACGGTTCCTGAAGGACAACCCTGTGGGTGTCTCCTTGGCCATGCTGAACAGGATCAGAGGACTCCTGGCAGTTGTGCGGGCAATATGCTGTGCTGAGAGGTTTGGTTCCAGGACACAAAGATGACCCTCAAAGAGGTACTCCTGGTGTTTGGGGGCCACACTGGTCTGCTCATATACAGCCTCCAAAAAGATGGCGATCCTTTACACATGACGGAAGGGAGGTGTCAGCAGGCACCAGCTGGCTTTGAGGAACCAAGCTCAGCAAGATTCTGCCCATGAAGAAGACCCAGCTTTTCCAAGGTAGGGTCCAGGGGGTTCTTTCAACAAAGATGGAGAGACAATAGGCAGAGTTCATGCTGTTGATAGAGACAGAGTTTGGAGAGGACCCAGGAGTCCCAATGCTTAGACTTCGCCTTTGTGCCCAAATTTGCTGGACCCCATTAAAATTCTCCTAATCCCGTGTAGTACTGCAGGAGTGATCCAGGTATAGAGCACATGTAAGTAATCCCAGCACTTGGAAAGCATAGACAGGAAGATGGAAGAATTTGAGGTCAGTCAGGGCTATATAGCATGACCCTGTCTCAAACAAGCAAACAAACAACAAAAGCCAAGCACCTCAGGAGTAAAGGGTTCAGTGAGCAATAAACCCTAGGAAATATACCATCAACACACACATACCACACACACACACCACACACACATCACACCACACACACATCACACATACGCCACACACATACCACACACCCACATCACACATGCCACAACACCAAACATACACATCATCCACACATCATATACCACACACACCCAACATGCACCACACATATACACTACACCCTTACCACATACATACACACACTATACATCCTCCCCCATACACACACCACACAAAACACTCCCCTCACCCCTCATATTCCCCACACATACCACTCATGACACAACCTAACACACACATGACATAGACATATTACATACCACATACATCTATATACCACCCACACATCCCACACACACTACACACATCCCACAATACCACATACATACTACATCACCCACAACACACACTCCATATATATCACATATCACACACACACACCACACACACATTCCACACTTCACAATGCACACATACCCCATACACATCCCACACAGACCACCATACACACACCACACCCCCACATACATATACCACACCTCCACACACCACACATAAACCAAACATACACCACACACACCACACACTCACCACACATCACATATCACACACACACACATCACACACACACTACACACTCACCACACCTGCACCACACCCGCACCACACACACACCACACACCACATATCCACACATACCCACACCCCTCCCACACCCACACCACACACTCACCATACATACACCACACACATACTACATACACACATACACACACACACAAATACACATGTTCTAAGATTTGTAGTGCACTATAGCATTGTAAAGGGTATGGGATCAGTTTTACCAGCAAGGAAACCTGTTTGACTTGAACTTTTAATTTAATTTAAATTTTTTTTTTATCTTTTTGAGACAGAGTCTCCCTGTATCCCCAGTTATCCTGGAACTCACTATGTAGACCAGGCTGGCCTTGAACTTACAGACATCTGCCTGCTTCTGCCTCCCAAGTGTTGGGGCTGTTTGACTTGAACTTTAAGGAGCTAGTACTTTTCCCAAATGGGCTTTGGGACATGCTGCCTTGGTCCCACACACCTGCCTGGGTGAGGAAGTTTCTTGATCCTTCCCTTTGCTGTTTCCACTCACGTGTTATGGGCATGGATGTAGATATGGTGCAGGACTGCTCCAGATAGGGAGAGGACGTGGACAACAACTCGCTGCAGGATGTCACTGGTCTCCGCAAAGAACTGGTCAAAGCCCCAGCATTTGGCCTGTTGGACCTCCAGGATGTTGGCCAGGATGGGCACCAGCTGGTTCTGCAGCCCCCTGTACACTCAGGACATGGAGACTGTCAAGGGCTGGGGCCATATTTGTCATCCTTAAATAGGTGATGGGGCAGAAGTTGTTTGAAAATCTTGCTTCAGCCTTCAAATGGAACACCCCAGACTACAAAGAGAAAGTGGTGGATGGGGTGGGGGCGTGGATTCTGCTGGGATAGCCTAGAAGTCTTGACTCAAAAAAAAAAAAAAGTGATCCCCAGCCAGACTCAGTTGGGGCCTTGCCCCATCCACTCACATGGACAGCCGGCAGGTGATGGGGAGGCTGTAACTCCACTCCAAGGGCCCATTTTCCTGTCTCTGAGTGCCCGAAATGGCCCTAGCTGGCTTCTCTGTGGTGATTCGAAACCTGCAGTAGGGTAGAATCTGGTCAGTGGAATCCCCAGCCCATCACATTTTAAGTGACAACAAACTCGGTGCAGAGCACAGTTCTGAAGTAGGCCAGAAGATGGAATTGTAGTCCTGTGACTGTGAGAGCACCTCCCCACTCTAGCTCCTTGCTTTAGGCAGACCCTTCTCACTGTCACTACGGATACACCCTGGGTCTGGCCACTTCATTCTTGTGCCACGTTTAGCTCAGCCCCTAGCATCCTCTCTTCCTCCTTACCGTTCTATCCACCCCGAAGCCTAGCTTTCTCTGATAACCTGGTCTATGCCAGTCTCTTTCCCTTGTCCCTAAACTGAGTATCAGTTCCACAAAGATGGGCCCAGGGTCTAGGTATACACCAACTTTCCTGACAATGCACTGATAAAAGAGAAACTCTGAGATGTCTTACATTTAATTATAAGATGGAGAAAGGAAGAAACTTAGATTCTAGCACTGCTGACCCCCAGGACCACTGTGTCGTTTCTCTATAATCTTTTCAGACTATTAACCCCAACCAATCCATACACAAGTACTTCTTATGAACTGCCCTCCCATCCCAGAGTTACCTACAGCCAGTGTAAACTTGTATTTTCCTTCCCCAAGATTTATAAAGACACTCTTGGCTCTAGGTCCAGTGGATGCTTTTCTAATCTAGCTTCACTCATCCCAGGACTTGGTACCCTTTTTCCTATATAACATTGGTAACAGCTCGAGTCCCTTGTATTCCAGAGGCCTCTCATCTCTAGTACTTGCTTGATTACCACCTTACATCCCTTATTCTGGGCAGTGCACTCTGACAGCCCCTGTCTCCAGCTCCTATCAGTCAGGAGACACACCGGGAAGACCTCTGGACATGGGCGCTGGCCCCACCTCCACCCCTGCAGTCTCTGCTTCAGACAAGCCTCCTTGAGCCTTAGTGGAGAAGTGGTGAGCTAGGAATGAGGACAGGGCTAAAGCGAACACTGAACTAAGACAAAAGAGTAAAGTGTATGTGTTCCCTATCAAGCCAGGGGTGTGAGGCTGAGCTTTTGTTTTGACTAACAGTGGCTCTAAAAGTCTGGGAATGAACTTGGGGTAGGAATGAGGTAGGGACAATGGGGGAAGGGCCAGGTGTCTGCCAGGAAGTCCAAGGCCTGTCTCCTTCATTCTCTGCCCCGTGATCCACCGTACATGATCTCCTTGTTGCGTCGTGGCCCACCAAAGGGGACAAAGGGCAGACTACCGGTGGCTGCATGGTACAGGGTCACCCCAATACTCCAGAGATCCACAGTCACCCCGAACGCCTTTTTCTGGGGTTTGCGAAGAACTGCCCGCTCATACATGTCAGGGTGCTATGGGAGAAAGCCAGAGAGCAGCCATGGAGGAGCAGTGTGGGCAAGGGCTCTAGCTCCTCTGTCAGACCCCTTCCCCAGCCTTCAGGAGGCCATGTCTCCAACACCCAGGAAATGGGCACTGTGCTACTGACTCCAATCATTTCCCTCTGTCCCAAGGGTGTTCCACCCTCATGAAGATCCTAGGGAGGAGAAAACTACAAAATGGCCTGGGCAGGCTGCCATACCCTTTGCTGTCTATATTAAAGACCAGAATGAATTCTCCTTGGGGTGCAGGGCTAACATATAGCCAATGAGAAGCAGGGGATCAGCTAGACCCTCTCCTAGGGGATACTCAGGGAGGCACAAAGCAGGGAGTGATCAATTTGGGCAGAGGATCTCCAACATATCACTCACCAAGTACTCCTCTGTTCCATAGACAGAAACAAACTTCTCATCGTCATCCAGCTCCCGGGCAGCCCCGAAGTCAGACAGCTTGTAGATGCTCTGCCCCTCCTCCCCTATGAGACGCATAATGTTCCCAGGCTTGATGTCCCGGTGGACTATGCCATTCTCCCGTAGGTGATTCATGCCAGCAACTGGGGACAGACAGTATACTGCTAGCTGGCTCTAACCACAGTCTAGTGTCTGAGGCTCATCCTAGTGGGAAGACTGTCCTTGGGTCCAGACAGGGAGTTCCCACAGGGCATTCAGGGCCATGGGAAGAGCTGGAGCACAAAGACAGTAGTAGAACAAGGGAGGGGGTCCCAAGGACATTAGAGTATGGAGCTCATTTAGATTCTATGAGGAGTCTAGAGCACACCTTCTCTCTTTTATTATTTATTTATGGTAAAGGATACCTAACAAAACTTATCACTTGATGGGCCCAGTGGATGGATCCATACTGAAGGACATTTGGGGACATAAATCAGACTCTAGAAGCCATATTATATATGAGAGTATATTAAATTGGCCACAAGACAGTCGGGGAGAGGTACAGATAAGGGAAGGGATCTAAATACCACCAAACTATATTGTATGAAAATAAATAACAAAAACACAGTGCCAGGCAGGAGAAACATCCCTTTGAGTTGTTGGTCAGGGCAGTTCAAGAGACTCCCAAAATAACAGATTATTGCTACAGCCTTTGATTGTCTCCCAGAACTTGAAGGTAAGACCCTATTGCTGAATACAGGTCACACTTTGGACCTGGAAGCCTCCTCCCTGAAGACTAGCTCTCATGGTATCAGAGGTTACTATACAAGCTGCTAAGGAAGAAAACCAATCAATGGTCCAACCTAGCTGTAAAGCCTAATCAACAACAACTTGCCTAGCAAACTATTGCTATTGGTACAGTTGTGGCACTTTTATCTTAGGGATAATCAACAGCTGTCTAATCGGAATTAAGATCCACTCAATGGGAGGGAACTCATGTGTGGTACTGTAAACAGCCAAATACATATAGCTAGAGCAGTCATAGATCCTAGAGAAAAGCCTACTTTTGCCACATCCCTAGACCAACGTAATTTCTTACTTTGTCCTAAAAATGCATCCTCATATTTACAGGCAAGGGTACCTTTTGCTCCTCATCAAAGAAGCTTCTTTTTGCAACTGATGGAGACAATTACAGAGTTCTAGAACTGATCAAATGCAGAGAATAAGTGTCTGTAAGAGAGTGTCTAGCTTCTTGCCTATGAGACATTTAACCCTAAGTGGCACATATTTAATGCAACCTCTACACGTGGAATGAATGTGTGTCTCAACTCTCACCAGAGAAGTTTTCTTATCCAGCAGATGGTGATTAACACAGAAACCTACAACTGGACAATGTGCAGAGAACAAGAGGCCAGAGTGCTTATCCTTGATTAGAACACCTATTTTAAACCTCTGCCTCCCAAGGCTCAGAGATCATTTTGGAAGAGGAGGTGAAAAGATTATAAGAGCCAGAGGGGGTGGATGACCACAAGGAAACAGAGTCTTCCAGACAGATGGTCATTTACTCATATGAACTCACAGCCATGGTGACAGCATGCATAAGTCCTATGCAAGTGTGAACTAGACAAAATCCCAGCATAGACACAGGGAAGTGGGTAAGAAATCCCAACCCAAACTAAAGAACTCTTGGCAATTGATGTCTGCTGGGAGTGAAAAGACTGTCTTAGAGGGATGGGAAGGTGTGGACAGGGGCGATCTAAATACCATCAAACTATATTGTATGAAAATTGCAAAAATTCAATTAAAAATCTCAAAAATTCAATAAAAACCCTTAAAATTTTTTTTTTTATCATTTAAATTTGGGGATGACATGTTTCACTGTGTAGCCCAGGTTATCCTGGAACTAACTTATAACCTTCCTGTGTCAGCCTCCCAAGTGCTGGAAGTATGCAAACATGCCCTCCATTTTAGCCACTTGTAAACACACAGTTCAGTAGCTTTAAGCACATTAACATTGTCATGCAAACATAGCACTCATCAGCAGAGCCTTCTCTTCCTCCCCAGAGAAGTTCTACAACCATGGAACCACATTCCCTACTGCCCTCTCCAGCCCTACAGCAGCTACTCTACCTTATTCTAGCAGCATGGCTCCCCTAGGAGCTGTATCTAAGCAGGAGTGCATTTGCCTTTCTGCATCCCGCCCTCGGCACAATGTCCTGCAGCTTCATGCACATTGTCTCTGAGCAGTTATATTCTACAGTGTGCCAGCACCACAGTCTATCCTTTTAGCCTGTTTCACCTTTTGACTATTGTGAATAATGGTACCTTGAACACTGGCAAATAATCTTTAAAAAATATTTGTTCTAAATTACAGCTTTGAGCCGAAAAATTAACAGGAATCAACCCCTTGGGTCCTGTGGCCCATCCCTCTGCCTCAGGCCCATTGGGATTCCTGTTTAGAAAGTCGAACTCGGTGGGGTGTGGCGGTACAGGACTTTAATCCTAGCACTAGGGAGGCAGAGGCAGGCGGATCTCTGTGAGTTCGAGGCCAGCTTGGTCTCCATAGCGAATCCAGGCCAGCTGAGGCTACAGGGAAACCCTGTCTCAAAAAGACCAAAAAAAAAGAAAAGAAAATCGAGCTCTTCTGAAACTTTGCCAATGTGGAGGGCCTGGGCCCAGGGGTAGGGCAAGGCTCACCTACGCAGTGCAGTACCACCAGGAACTCCTGCTCCGGCAGCCCAAATGTGTTCTCAGGATCCTCCAACACGCTCAGCAGGCTCCCACTTGGGCAGTACTCCATCACTAGCACCTTCTGCCCACTGCCTCCCTGTAGGCAGGACAGAGAGAGGTTTGGGGAGGTGGGTGCTTCCCATCCCCACCTATCAGGAGGCTCTTCCACCTAGAACTCACAAAGTACCCATTCCCCAGATTCTAGCTTCTTGCCTGGTCTTCTTGCAGTGTGTCATGCCCAACCCCCACCCCTCTGACACAGGAATCCAAGACCATCCTTTCCAGGAAGCCCTCTGATTAGGCACTGATTCCCCCTTTCCTTTTTCCTGTGTGGCCCTGCACTCTTGTATTCTTTACCACCCCCCACCACTTCTGATATGCTGATGATCATGTGACCAAATATTATATGGCTTGCCCCTCCCAGGACTCTGAGGGTCAAGGTCAAGACCATGTTTCTCTGACCAAGCACAGGACCCACCATCTCTTCCACTGCGAAGAGCCTGACAATGTTCTCGTGGTTCAACTTCCGCAGGACCTCAAATTCTCTCACTTGTACCTCCTGGGGTCGCCGGTAGCTCGCTGTGTTGAAGACCTTTACAGCAACCACCTCTCCAGATTTCTGATGTGTGAGAGCAGGATAGAAGTCCATGTGGGAATAACATAGGGCACGCCCCTGTGAAGGAGCAGTGACCCTCCCTCCTCTTCAGCCTCTCCCTGAATCCAGCCCCAGAAGAGAGAGGCATGGGCTAGATGGGCTGGCACCTACAGCCCTTTCCCCTACTCAGGACACAAAGCAGCACTGGGAAGTGACACACCTGATGATCCTGCAGGTGATAACTTGAGATGTTGCTTCTATTGCCAAAGATAAAAAATGCCTAGGCAGTCCACCCTCCCTATGCATACTCGAGGGTTCTGTTGCCTCTAGTTCCTAAGCATGGGGTGGAAAATTGCCATGTGCATTTTGATACAGCTTTGTAGCAATTGTAGGACAAACCCAAGCAGGCCTGACTGCCCACCTCTACTATTCCTAGATCCCACTTGCTGTCACCTCCCCTAGATGTTTGCTTTGCATTGTCCTTCTTTTGTCCCAATATGTCCTTGATAGAGGCATCATTCTAAGGAGTATTTCCAGCATCCCACATCTCTGCCCAAATTTATGGGGGCCTCCCTCCTTAGAGTGGACAGATCAGAGTCTTGGGGCACCTGACCAGCCACAGAACATCTTCATACCCATGGGGGGCTGCTGGCTGGGCATGAGGGGGCCAGGCACCAGAGTTGGTCCCTACCTTGTTTCGGGCCTTGTACACAGTAGCAGTGGCCCCCTGCCCAAGCAGGTCGTCTGTGTGCCACAGGTAATTAGCTGTGCTCTGCATCTCCTGGGCTAGCTACCTTCCACCTGGGAAAACAAAACAAAACAACCATGCTGGGGCCCTAGGGTTCCCTGCCTGACCTGGAACAGATACTAATAGCTGTCCACTAGCTCCCAAGACCATCCCACGAAGGGCTCCATTTGGCCATGCCACAGGCAAGGGAACTGGGGAAGTGGCAGCACAGAAAGGTTAAGTAACTTCCCCTGAAAGAAGCAAAACAACAGCAGGAGGGGCCTACTGGGCCTCAAGCTTGGGCCTCTTCCTCTGTTCCCCAGGCCCCCTCCAGTACCCCTCAGAGGCAGGCCATTCTATAGGGACAAACCTTTCTCTATCACTTCTTCCAGCTACTGAGGACTCTTTTGGCATCTAGGCCTGGGACTGTCTTAGGAAGCAGAAATAGTAGAGGAAGAAGGGCCTTGGTTCAGAAAGGATCAGAGTCAGTAATACCACCACAAATCTCCAGGATTGCAACATGAGCCCAGAGCCCCACACTCCCCTCCCCTGCTTCTCTGGCCCACTACTTCCTATTTCCAAGAGCTAACAGCTTCCCGGGTGGCCAGCAGGCAGGTCAGTGCACAGGGCCTTTCTAGAGGCGACAGGGCTGCAGGGGAAAAAGCAAGAAGGAAGAATAGGAGGGAGAAAGGAAAGAAGGAAGAGAGGGAGGGAGGGAAAGAAGGGAGGAGAGGAGGGTGGTGTGGGAGAGGTCCAGACCTTCCAACTCCAGGGCTTACGCGCTCTGGGAAGGATGTGAACCCTCTGTACTCTGCTCCCCATCTTTGTTCCCGTCCTTTTCCCTCTGAAAGTTGATTCCTCTAAAGCAATTGTTTCCAGAAAGGGTAGCTTCAGAAGTTAAACTCAATGTCTTTCTGTCTTTCTGTAAAATAGGGCCAGGGTTGGCCTTTTGGGACACCTGAGGGCAGTGGCAGAAGGTCCACCTCCCTTCAGTGTTTTGAAATAAAGCTGGTTAGACAAGAGCGTCTTCTTTCTCTAATATCTCACGAGTTCTCAGGCCAAGGGTGGCTCAACTTTCTTTCTGTAATCCTTTTTTTTTTTTTATTTTTATTTTTAAAGAAAGGGTCTCATGTAGCCCAGGCTGGCCTTGATCTTCTGATCCTCATGCCTTTACCTACTGAATGCTTGATCACAGGTATACACGGGTATGCTGGAGATTGAACTCAGGGTTTTGTGCATGCTAGGCAAACACTCTACCAACTGAGTGAGCTATATCCCAGTCCATAATCTTGTTTAAAAAATGAGAATCCTTATTTAAAAATTTAAATCCCACTTAAAAATGAATATCAGCTCTTGAGCCAGAAGCCCCTTGAAGCACTTAAAAATGAATATCAGCTCTTGAGCCAGAAGCCCCTTGAAGCAACAGTAGTGATGTGCTAGTTTCAGGTCACACACTCATGTTTACTCTATACAGAAGTAAGAATGTCTATGAAAGCCTCTGGCAATTTGAATGAGCTGCCCAAATTGTTCCCTGATGTTGAGGGGTCAGCCCGTGTAAGGCCAAGCAGAGCATACTGAAATGGAGGCCAAGGACAGAGCCTGGGGAATTGGGGACTGGGAGCAGGTTGTACCACTTCATAACTCTTCTTAAGGCTGGTCCTCAACTAAGCTTTGGTGCTGAGGCAAGGCATAGCTCAAGTCAGGGTGATGGGTAGCATGCTCCTGGGTTCTGTACCTAGAAGTTCTGACTGTGGCACATCTGGCTCACCTCTGCATTCTCCAGCCTTCTACCCTACCCCAGGCCTGTATACAGAGGGCTCAGCACCCTTCAGTGCACAAGGCAGTCCACCGATGTACTCTCCTCTTCCTTGGGGCCTCTTCTGTGGCAGATGCACTTACCTGTACTCTGAGTGGCCCAGAATCAGGCTAAGACTCCCTGGCAAGTGTGTTATGCTTTCTGTGTGGGGCAAGTTTGGGAGCTGAGCTATACCGAAAGAGGAGGGTGGGCAGATGAGAGGCCCCTTTGGTAATGTTTGATTCTCAGCCCCATCAAAGGCCACCAGTCCCAGCCTTTTAATCCTTTTCTGTTTGTCACCTCCCCTATAGGACTGGGGGTTTTCTAGCTTCTTTCTAGTATTTTGGGAGTATCTCTTGGACATTTGGGCCTCTGGACTCCAGTCAGGGACAACAGCCCAGGCAGAGGTGAGCATAGGCACCAGAAAGTGAACCATGGTTCCACATCAGCATGTTAGAAAGCACACAGCCTGGAAGGGGAGCTTCCTTGGCCAGTGGTTCTCCTTGGGCATCATGATCTTCCCTGGCCTCTAAACCGTCCTGAGAGTGTTTTCCACAGAGTTCAGGACACTACCAGGCTCCTAGCCCCTATAGAGAGACACAGGGATGGGGGTACTCAGCAGAGGGCTGGCCTGTGCCTGGCCCTCCCATGCCACCCTCCTCCACAGACGCTGTACACTCACCCCATCTCCCAGGGAATGCAGACTTGTGGGACTGGGTGGCAACCCCAGGAATTTCAGGCCTTGCAGTAATTCCTGGGTGGTGCCCAGGACATCGTGGTAGCCCTGGGTGCCCAGGACCCATAGGCAAAGCTGGTTGCAATGCCCTTGTGCTTCTCTGGGAGCTAGGATTAGAGAGAGTTTTTTCCCTGCCTGTCTGCTAGTTTTGATACTCAACCCAGCAGAACCCAGTCTCTTAGCTCTAACTTACTTCCTGATTCAGTTTTCTCTTTCTCCCCACCCCTTTCCCTCCCTCGGTCCCTCCCTCCCTCCTTCTCTCTCTTAAAGAGACAGGCAGTTCAAATGCTGCCACACACTTCCCTACTCCCCAGAAGGAAAGGGAAAGAGGATGATGTTAGTTTCCAAGTGGAAGCCAGAGGATCATAGTTTGAACCACAGGGAGGCCAGGAACTATGGCTGGGGCGTGTGGCAGGCCACTGGGTTATATTCACATGGCATCTCTGGCAGTTCACTGGAACACCGAGGTTCTGGGCTCTGTCTAAAGTCAAAGAGGTTAGGCAGGTTAACCAAGTTGAAAACTGCCTGAAAAGACCTGTGCATGGCCACTCCCAGAAGCTGAGCATGACATTTCTTCCCACTGCCTGCAAGAACAAGCACCAAACTCAGGTCGTATCCTCTGATGTGACCTTGAGCACAGCACATACCCCTCTCAACCAGCTTTCTGCTTGAAGCAGTAATACTCCTTAGGTTGTATGGATGGCAGGGAATGGTATATCTGGAAAACTTTGGGAGGCTGGAAAGTGCTTTTCAGATCAAAATTGATGCCATCAAGGCCTACACACCCTTAGTAATTTGTCCACAATCTTCAGAGATTTCTAGGGCAATTGTACTACCTTCTCAGCTAGGTCCCAGTGCCCAAAATATCCTGGGACACAGAAATGTTCTGTGCTGCTCTGATCAGGTCTGAGTGGGCAGCTGGACGAGAAGTGGTTAAAACCAGGAAATTCCATGTTTCTCTAGAATGTTGGAGGGACTTTCCCATGGCCACACCTGGTGATTTCCTGTGCCAGCCCCACCCCACCACAGGGAGGAAAGGAGAGAACTGGGGCAGACACTGCTTCTGCTCAAATTCACCTGATGGTAACATGGCAGCCAGAGGATCTTGCTGTGGTTTCTGACAGCAAGGCCAGGAGGGATGTCCCTGGGAGCCCACACTCCACCTTCTCTTTTTCCAGGTTTCCACCTGACAGGAACATGGGGGAATCACACTTTGTCACCTGCACCTTGGGGAGGACGGAGCATGCACTTTCCCTAGCAAAGCATCTTATTGCTGCTGCAAAACCCCCTTAGAGGCCCTGCAAGGTGGTTCTGCTCAGCACTGCTGCTCCATCCGCCTAGGTCTGAGTGACTTTCATGATCAGAGCACCCTGCTGGACCACCAGGGATGCTGGCTTTGGTCACTGAAGTTATTTTGAATTCCGTTCATTTTCCTCCATGAAGCAGTACTCCTTCCTTTCTCCAGTAAGCCCAATCTCTTTCCTGGGGAAGTTTACACCTTTGAATTCAAGAGATACATGTCTAGCATCTCCCAAGAGGCAGGCATTGTGATCTCAGGATAGAAAAGGAGAGACCAGGAGTGGGCAGTGCAGACAACATGATGGGTATTTAGGAGAGACATACTGAGCAAACGGCAGCTTTCGGACCCTGGTGGGGGCTGCAGAAAATCAGGAAGAGCTTGCCAGTTTATCTGGATGTGACTTTGAAATTTGGATGTGAACTCTGTTAGGCAGAGAAGGGGAACTAATTCAAGGCACAGAAGGCAGGTACAGAGGTGCCAAACATGAAAAGAGCATACCTTGCTCAGAGAATTGTAGCTGGCAAGCTAGAGATAAGCCAGTGAGGTAGAGGTGTGCAGACTAGGATGGAGCTCCACTTGTAGCCTCTGAGAGGTAATGTCCTGGGTGTGGACAAAATTGCTTATGCCCCAGCTGGCTGGTAGATACAGGAGCCCTGAGGTTCCTGAATGGGAGAAGTAGTCTGTAGGAAGCCTGGACATATCTTCCGGGTGGCTCTAAGGAGTCAGGAATAGTGGCAATCCAAAAGCAGCATAGGGGGCAGAAGCAGGAAGTGTGTGTGTGTGTGTGTGTGTGTGTGTGTGTGTGTGTGTGTGTCTGTGTCTGTGTCTGTGTGTGTGTCTGTGTAATGGGGTGACAATTTTAGAAAAAACAATTTCATGACTGCTCTCTCCTGATTGGTGTGGTGAAGGCCACTTACTGGACAGTGAACTTGAGAAGCCATTCAACCCTTCTCACAGGATTAGTGTGAAGCAGAGATGAAGTGCTCAGCACCAGTGGCTTTTGAATGGATATTATTTGGGCATGCTGGCATTTATCTGTAGTTCCACTTCTAGGAAGGCTGAGGCAGGAGATTGACTGAGCACAAGAGTTCAGAACCAGCCTGAATAGGACAACATAGCTAGAGCATGTCTGAAAAAATTGTGTGCACGCATGTGTGACTGGAGGTGTGGCCGAGTAGAACTCCTGCTCAGCATGAGGCTGAGTTCCATACCTAACAGTAGCTGCTGCACCAAAAAAAAAAAAAAAAAAAAAAAAAAAAAAAAGTGGGTTGTTTTCCTGTCCCTTTCATGGCCTCAGCCAGTTTTCCCCAGTGATTTACCTGCCCAGTGCCTTAGAAGCAAGAAGAAAGGATTAAGGCACGGTGGGTGTATGGATGGGGCCCTGCTTACAGGGGCTGTGCTCAGTCACAAGGGCTAGATGGCAAAAGCTAAGAGATTTGTTCAGGAGTCAGCTCTGCCCTGATGCTGTGGTACAGGAGAGACAGTGGAAAAGGGGCTGTGGGTGCAGTATCCAGGTCCCTAAGGGTCCTTGTACATTATCTGTCATCAGCTAAAGTCCTTGCCTTCAACTCAGCTGAGCTAAAAAAAGCAATAGAAAGTGAACTTTTTTTGGGGGGGGTCTTTTTGAGACAGGGTCTCCCTGTAGCCCCAGCTGTCCTGGAACTCACTATACACCAGGCTGGCCTTGAACTCAGAGATCCACCTGCCTCTGCCTCCCAAGTGCTGGGATTAAAGGTGTGTGCCACCTGGTGAAAGTGAACCCTTCCTCATCTCACAGCCACTACCTGCCTGTACTCAGCTGCCGTTCCTCCCAAGAGACAGGAACATGCCCCTTCTCCTGGCCCCAGCAATGCTTCCACTTGGGCTAGGTGACTTATCTGTCCCTCCATATTCGTTTCTCCCTTTCTACTGAGTCCTGCCCATGGAGCAAATCTGCCTCAACTCTGCCCATCTTAAAAACCAAACCTGCTCCTTGACCCCTCTGGATGCTTCCCATTCCCTGAGTTGCTGGGCCTTCCCTTCTTTGCTGCCTGATTCACATCCATGGGACTCATTTCCCACCTACTGAAAATGCTTACTTTTCTATAACAGCTTCTTACCCTCCTGGCATCAGACAGTCAAGAATTGATCCCTCCCTCTTTGTGAAATATTTCCTTCTAATTTCTGTGACATGTGCTCTACCAGCTACCTACCTACAGTGCTTACTCCTGTTCTCTTTGCTAGACTTCTCCTTTTCCTATTTACAAACTCCTTCAGGAATCTCATAGTTGGAAGTTATCCATAATATAATAGCTTTTAAACTTTTCAGGTAGGACCTCTCCCCTAAACTCCAGACTACGTATATACTGTCTATTCCCACTTGGAGGTCTACAGGCACCTCAGCATGAACAGTCCACGCAGCAGCTCTCATTTCCTGCATGTATCTTTACATCATAATGGCCTTCCTTTTTTCGTTTAAATGGGGTCTTATTATATTATCAAAGCTGCTCTCAAACTGTGATCCTCCTGCGGAGCTGGGATCCCAGGCACAGGCTATCGTGCTAAGCTCTATAAAGGCATTTCCTGTCTAACCCAGATATGTTTCATTTTCACATTCATACTTACTTTGCTTCCTTGTCCTCTCTGACCAGAGCAAGCTCCATATAGCATTTGAATAGACTTAAAGTTCATTGACGAACTAAATGATTGAGTCTTTGGCATATGTGATATGCCAAGACTAGCTCTTGAGACAAAGCTGTGGTGGCTAATGCTTGTAAATTCTGGCACTGGGGATGCTGAACCAGGAGGATCCCGAGTTCGATGCCAGCCCCAGTTACATAGTGAGAGCTTATTAAAAAAAAAAAAAAAAAAAAGCCTGATTCCCTAGAAATACAGACATATAAACATTCACATTAGATAATTCTAAGTTTATATTCATCTGGTCTCCTTTTTTGGTTTCTATCTAGGTGAAATGTGCTTGTCTATTGACTGTTTATTGCCACCTACTTTCATCATACTCTCATCAGAATGAAGACTTAAGAGGAACCCAAAAGCATGACCTTTGGTGTGGGATTTTGTCTTTGGTCCTTTGCCCACAGTCTAACAGCTGGCTCCATCTCATAGCAAGCTAGCCACTCCAGTCATCCTCTCCTTCTATACTGCCACTGGGGTGAGAACCCACATTACCATAGGGTGGCAGAACAGCCTCAGTTTTGACTCACCTCAGAGCAAGCGCCCTGTTAGAGCTCAAGATGGAACTACTCCATTTAGAGGTAAGAGGTGATGAAAGGTTGGCAGGGCATGATAGAGATGAGTATCAGATACACGCAGAAGAGATGGAGATGACAAACCTAAGAGACAAGGTGTCTAGGCCAGGGCTGGGGTAGGGTGCCTCGAACACAAGGAAGCCCATTGGACATGACAGGCTTGATCTATACCCAGGGACATGTGGTATTAGAATAAGCCCCCTAAAAATAAATGTTGGTTGCTGGATGTGGTGCCGCAAGCCTTTAATACCAGCACTTGGGAGGCAGAGGCTGGTGGATCTCCGAGTTTGAGGGTATCTTAAGTCTACATAGTGAGTTCCAGGCCAGCCAGGGCTACATAAGGAGACCCTGTGCTTAAAAAAAAAAAAAAAGCGTCCCCTAGACTGTCTAGAGTTCATTCTAACTTGCTACCTTACCTCCTTTGGCATTTTGCTTTCTTTATTAATTACATGTCTGCTTATACAAAATGTATGTACACTTGTTTCTACCTGGGGAAGGAAAGCAACCCATCATATAGTCCTATACAAGGCTGGAACTGTGGGCAGAACATGGAAGCATTCCGAGCTGGGTTGTTCATATAATCATCAAGTAGATGGTAAGGACAACTGTGTTAATTCAAGAACCAGCCATCCTAAAAAACCTAACTCTGTAGACTCATTCCTCTTCATCTAAGTGAAGCCTCCAGGGGACAAGTTTTAGAGGTTTCAGTCCATGACTGGTTGGCCTCATTGCTGTCGGCTTCTGGTAACACATCATGGCAGGAGCATTTGGTAGAGTACAACTGCTCACTTCATGGCCTGGGAGCACTAAGTTGTCACCTTTGATGAACTTCATCCTTGATCCCACTTTGTTACTATACAAAGCAGCTTTAAAGGAGAGAAAGCATGCCCTCTTATCCCCCATCCCCATCAAGAGCAAGGAATGCTGGTCAGCCTTTTCCCAGACACAGGCAGACTAACCCAGGGATCGGTTGTGGGAGATAGTTGTAACAGGCAAAGTTTCTAACCAAATTTTTAGGCCTCACTCCTTCAAGTGGGGAAATCTGACTATAAAGACAGAAATGAGAATACTCCTGAACACTGAGGGTGGTTTCTATGAAGTTCTTATGGCAACAGACTGGCTGATACACCAGAAGACTTTCTACAAAACCGCTTAGGTTCCACATGAACTAAATGAAAATGCAGAGGGGGGAAAAGAGAATCCATATCCTAAATGTGACTGCTGTGCCTTGGGAAGGAGAGAGAAGGCGGCCAACCCCAAGGTCACCACACTCCTCCCTGTTGCACAGCAGGCCTCTCTTAGTTCAGATGAATGAACCGGTGACTTCAGGCAGTGGGGAAGGGATATGACCTACAGCATGGAAACCTAAAAATGTATTTTATTTTGAAGTTGTGCTTTGGATTTTCCCCAATCCAACATCTGCTGAGTGACAGTCTGAGGTTCACACTAAGCATCTCCAAGCATACATACAATATTCCAGTTATCAACACCATTTTAAAGAATATGCCATTTTACACAAATGTGACATACAAATCAGACGCCACAACACTGCAGTTCCCTGGAAGATCTAACTTCTCTTCTGAACCGAAGTCCATGCACACCAGCCCTTCCAGTGGTCTGTTCATCCTGGTGCTGGCAGGAGTTTTCATCTCCTTGGGGATAAAAGAGGGTGGTCTGAGGAGGCTGGCAGATATCAGCCTGTTTCCAGTTTACAGGCTGGTGGCAAACTCTTGTTTTCCAAGTTGGGATGCTGGTAGCTCCACCCCACTTTTCTTCCTCAAAGATTCGAGTCCACACTAGGAAAAGGATCCATGCCACGAGGGGCAGAGCAGGGCTCTTGGAAGCATCATGCTGGTTTCGGCAAGCCTATGTGAGGAAGGCTGGTTGCCCAAGGCCAGGGGTGGCCAGCTCCTTTTGGCTTTTGGGCATAAAATCACAGTGTGCAACCTCAATTCCAGTTGAAGTGAGCTCTGCCAAGAAGGACTCTCTTCTTATTGGTTCCTAGTCCTTTTGACAGGACCATCTCACAGGAGTCAGGAGCACCAGAGATGAGGAAGACAGCTAGGCTCCCAGAGCTTGGGATTAGTAGGGGACCACTTATATACTGTCCAGTTCATGATGCAAATCAGCAGATGGACACTGACTAAGGGGATGGCAAACACAAATCATGTACAGGGTTAAAAGAGAAGTAAGGCAAGAACAAAAGAACAGGCCCAAAGTATTACTTTAAGAAGCTTTGTTTTTACTTTCTTGGAGGAAGTGTCCTAGAGATAGGATATGGGGCAGGTATAGACATTTTGAGCAGTTAGATTGAGAGGAATGTAAAAAGTGAGGGTCAGGGTTTCATTTTTGGCAAGGAAACAGATCCTTGGGTCTGAAAGCTCCCTCTTGGCTCAAGACTAGTACAAGCCCAGGTCGAGACAACCACAGGTCAGTATCCATCCAAAGGACCAAGGATTGCCTCTTGTCGTCTTACTTTAAGACTAGTGTTCTAGTGTTCTCCTTCCTAGCTCAGGGAGCAGTAGTTTCCCTGATGTTGCAAGCTATCCTTCACATTAGTGACTCTCCCAAGCTCCTGTTTCCCTTCACACAGAATAAGAAATGTGTACTGCTTTCTATAGATCTAACTATCAACTACACATGTTGGTCCAAAAAGGATTTCTTCTAGCTCAAAGCTAAGAATAACCAGATTTTTCTACTTGAATGGCAATCAATCATCTCCCTTGAACTACAGAAAATAATAAAGCTAAGATAAAAGTTTTCAAACCAGAAAACACAAAGAGGAATGTGTTTGAGCTTCAAGGAGCTGCTTGATACATATGACCCTGGGATACAGACTTTCTAGCCCTGGTGCTCCTGGGGTAGCGTAATGCAAGAGGAGATGGTGTCACAGTACCAGATCTGTAGACTGGACTAGAGTATTCAAGAATAGCCTATCTGAATTTTGGAGGGAAACTGGGAGAAAGGTCAAAGAAAGGCTTCAATATGAAGCATCTAAAGTTTTTTTCTTTAGATTTTGGCTTTGGGAAAACTTTTGAGTCTGTGGGGTCAAAGTTTCTTTAGTTGTCCTTGTTTGGATAAACAAAAACCAGTTTCAAAGAGCAGTGTCTCTCTCTCTCTGACTTAACTAGGGCTCTCCAAGTCCCTGTTGATTCCTAGGGAGAACCTTATAAAAAAAACCAAGCCAAGAGGTGAACTTGAAATAGTTTTAATCTAGGAAAATTTTTGGATTAGCAGAGCTCTTTTTTATTTTAAAATGGGAGAGTGAATTTTATGTTTTAAGTGCCAAAAAAAAAAAAAAAAAGTGGGAGGAAGGACCCATATCTTACCTTTTTCAAACCTGTCATAAACAATAAAACTTTTTAACTCTGAAAGGAGCTAGCTATAAAACTGTCTTATATTGAAAATGTCTTAAATGGAAAATAGTCTGCCAGAGACAAAGACAGGAACCCAAAATATGTGTACACATTCAGAAAAACTAAAAGCTCCTTAAGATTGGGATGTACTTCTGTAGGACAGAGCAGAACAAAAGCAGACACCAGTGACCAACTCACAGAAAGAGAAAGAGAATTCCCAATCCCACATCACATCATAGGACTGTCCCATCCTGTTAAATACAAAGTTTGTGATGGAAACACAGACCCCTAGTGGCTTCTGTGTGAACTGCCACAATAACAAAGTAGTCTATAATGAGGAAAGGCCAGAGACTAGAAAAACGTGTGTGTGTGTGTGTGTGTGTGTGTGTGTGTGTGTTCACGTATATATAAAATGAAGATTGCACTACATATGATTCTCCAAAACAAGATGCACTGAGAACTTGATGGCTATAGCCAACTGTCTGGTCAAGGCAGCCTCTGTGGTTTAAAGGGACTAAGACATGGGCTCAAATCCCCATTTCTTGCCTTGGCAAATTTCACAGCAACCTGATAATGAAAAACCTGTCTCTGGCTAAACTAAGAACAGTATGTACTGTAGGCGGTTGGATTACAACAACTGAGGGAAGCAGAGATGGTGGGAAAGGTAGGGAAGGAAAAGGCAGAAACAAGGGCTTCATTCTCAAGGTTTGGGTAATGGGGAGACTAACTCCTGCAAGAACTTAGAATCTAATTTTCAACTTAAGTCCCCAAGCTAGTTAAATAGGAATATTTTAATAACAGTCAGTCCTCTTCTCTAGGACAATTAAATTATACCCCTCAGACAGTACAAGACTTGTCAGTAGACTGTGGGGAAGCTGATGAGTTAACACCAGGACTAGTAGCATTTGTTTTGGGGAAGACAGTTGGCTTGGGCCGTGTGGCTGGTGGTTTGACTGGGGCAGCCATCTTGACAGATTTGACAGGCCGGAAGGCACAGGTAATATCCCCAGCAGTACTGGAGCTGCGTTGGAAGGTAGGCTCAGGGTCCTTGAGGAGTTGAGTGTGTAGGGGACTGGAGGGTTCAGATGTGGGGGCCACCACTGGGGAAGTTTTGAGGGGCTCCAAAGTGTCCAGAACCACATCAGGGGTGTGCTTAACACTGCTCTGCCGCTCTAGCTCTCGAAGCTCATTCAGGGCAGAGTTCATTGTTGCTTCAATATCCTGCAAAACAGGAAAAGGAAGAGGTAAGGCAAACCAAGGCAGATGTCCCCAGGGATCCTACTTTAACCAAGTAGGCCAAGCCATAAAACCAACTATAAAATGCCTTATTTTACTTGGACAGAGTCCTTGAACATACGAATGCTTAGAATGTGGAGAAAGGGAGCAGAGGACTTTTCGTTGTCAGGAATTTCTTTCTCCTTTAGAAACAATAGCTGGTAACTTCTGGATATGACATGGCTGTTGCACATATCAACTCATACCTGTTGTGGTTATCAGCACAAGACATGCAAAAGGTCAAGACGGTCAAAATTCCAGCATGAACTGGGGAGGGGCCACTGTGGCCACATCCTTGTTGGCGGAGCTACTGGCAGCTGATGGTTGCTGAGGGAGACTCACAATCCTCTAGGGACCTAGCTGCTGGGAGGTTGCCCATGCCCCAGTGGATGGCCCCAGGTCCATACACATGGGAAGTGCTAACCGGACTCGGAATTACTGAAAACAACAACACTAAAAGGAAGGCACGAAGTTGCGGGGATATGGAGTGGGAGGCACTAGGGGGAGTTGGAGGAAGGTAGTGGTAGGTGGACATGATCAAAATATATTGCATAAATGTAGGAAATTGTCAATGAATAAATAAATATTTTTAAAAAAGAAAGCGAAGCTGAAGTATCAACTAGAGTCCTTGGATTTGTTGAGAGATGCTAAAATATTTCTGAATGAAATAACATATAATTCCATCCAGTGACATGGGGATTCATTATCTAATTTTTTTTTTTTACTTGTGGGTATATTTGAAACTATACATAGTAAACAAGTTTTAGAAAGTGGTAGAGATCAAGTATGATCTTCATTTGCTTGACTTCAGGGCCAGTGGTTAAGAGGGTTAGTTCTTCTTCCACAAGAGCTAAGGAAGGTTCAAGAGCCAAGTCCTTGAAGATTTATTGGGACACTGCTTCAATTTCCCACCTCATCCAAGTGTCCAGCGTGAAACCATTTCCTTCTGCCCAGCACCATAAGGGGCCAAAAGAGTGGCCAGAAGGGGGAGGCAAAGCCCATGTAAGTGAATTAGCATCTGTAAACCAGTGGACCACTGTAGAGCTGACGGAATGAAAATAGCAGTCTTAGCCCAGGGGCCCAAGGCAGAGCCAAGGAAGCATCCAGGGAGAGCACCCAGCTTCCATAATCCTCCCCTCAAACTTGTGTTTAATATTGTGTCCCAAAGCTACCACAGGACCCATCCTCTGTATATTCTGGGGCTGGAGAGATGGCTCAGCAGTTAAGAGCACTAGCTGCTCTTGCAGAAGACCCAGGTTAGGTTCCCAGCACCACATGGTGGCTAACAAGTGTCTATAACTCCAGTTCCAGGGTATCCAATGCCCTCCTCTGACCTCCACTGGGCATTGTACAACATGGGTGCACTTACATACATACAGGTAATACACTCATACACATAAAATAAAAATAATAAAATATTTTAAAAAGAGATTGTATGTTCAAAGTAAGCCCTGCCTTCTTCACCCAGGGTTTCCAGTCCTATGGAGGGATCTATGCTTGCCACTGATTGTAACTCACTTCCGTGCATCACTGTGACATTTACTCTCCCCCTAACCTCTCTCTCTCTCTTCCCTCCTGCAGTGCTGGGGATGGAACATGTGACCCTGTGCATGCTAAGAAAGCACCCTACTACTGAGTTACACTTACAAGCCTCTCAAATCTTTTAAGATGCTCAGGAAGAACTCCATCTCTTGGCTCTGTCCTTAATGTTTTCACTGTTTCTAACATTCCTACTAATGCCTGGCTAAGGGAGGATCAGGGAGGACTCCTATGGTGCAAGGCAGATTGCTGCAGGAGTGTAAACAGGCTAGCAAGCTAGCAAAGCAAGACATCACAGGCACAGAGCTTAACACAGGGCTTATCAGGTATACCTCCTTAAGCAGAACACCAATGAAGCCAATAGAGACCAGCCTCTACTGCCCTCTCCCCACCACCCCCAAAGATGGGGTGAGAAGAGCAATAGTAAGCCCTTAGCTCCTACCTGTTCTAATGAAAATTATATAGCTGGGAGAGACGTCTGACAGAACTGCTTGGAGTGGCCCCGGCTGTTGGATTTTTAGAGGTCAGGTTGGATTTCTAATATTTCACGGAAAACAGAGAGTCATCAGTGTGGTGATCCTGCAATTGATCTCCACTTTATCTGGAGCCTTGTGCTAAAGGCTGCTCTAGTACTGAGCTTCCAGCAACAGGAGTATTTTGGGGTCTTTAAGACAGAATCAGAAGGTGGACTGATTATCTAACCGTAGGCATTAGATATCAACTTTAGGAAATGGAGTGATGGGGATGGGCTGAGCAATATATAGATGTAACTAGAACTACATCTAAGCTTCACTGAAGTCTACTAGGGTATTTTTATTTATTTATTTTTAAAATTCATTACTTATTTATTTTTGTGTGTGTATTGTTCTCTACCTTATTTTTCTTTAGACAGGGCCTGCCACTGAACCTGAAGCTTGCTGTTTTGGCTAGGGTAGTTCCAGGGATCCGCCTGTCCCTGCCCCTCTAACACTGGAGTTACAGGCAAATGTAGCTATGCCGGCTTTTAGGTGGGTGCCAGAGATGTGAATGCAGGCCCTTCTGTTTGCACACTGAGTACTCTTACCAGCTGGGCCATCTTCTCAGCCCCTATTATTAGTGCCTTAAAACATGAAACTTGGGGTAAGTGAACTCTTATCCAATACCCTTAACTACTGGCTTTAAAAATCAATTGTCAGGCCAGGCATGGTGATGCAGAGGCAGGTGGATCTCTGTGAGTTCAAGGCCAGCCTGGTCTATATAGTGAGTCCCAGGACAGCTGGGGCTACAGGGAGACCCTGTCTCAAAAAAACCAAAAAAAAAAAAAAAATCATCAGAATGATAAGGAACAAACCACACTGGGAAGACAGGGGTTACTGTCTTGGCAGGTCCTCATGCCCGACTGCTACTGAACCCTGTACAGAATGCACAGAGCACTGGTCTGTTTCAAGTTCTGTTGTATTATCAGGGACTTCTTTGAGTGGAAGTGATGAATGTCGACTTGTGCTTAAGACTGCTTGTTCAGGGGCCCTCAGTTACCTGTGCAATGACCTCAGGGTCCATAGGCCGATGGTTATTGAAGCTTTTTGATCTTCCTGCTGTGGCAGTCTTCCGGATCTGTGGACTGTCCAACCGGTTCTTGAGGGATGAGTGGCGGCTAATAGAGTTAAGGCTCCCATGGCCACTGATGGAACATTTATCTGGTCCTTCCTTGGGGAGATTCTGGCTCATGATGGGCTGGGAGGATGGGCGGCAGCTAGCCCCCACCCCCAGGGAGGAGGAGTCAGTCAGGGGACTGCTTAGCCCATGGCTGTCGCTCCGAAATGCTTTCCTGATGCTCCCAGATTCTGGACGCTTCCTTTGCCTTCAATCACAAACAGAGAGGGCATCTGATCAGGGAGCCCTGGCTCCAAGGAGCTAGGATGGCGGGAAGGGGACAGAGGCTGGCACCTGAGACTTCTGGAGAGAGGCACACAGAGCACCTTCTCTTTTCACTTTGTCTTTCTCTTGTTTCCTCCATGGGTCTGTTCCCCTGCCGCCCCCAACCTGGGCAGAGGCAAAATGGATACTTACTTGGTGGTTGGGAGGTTTGAATTTTAAACATGAAAGGTGCTGTCAGAAAAAAATGCCTGATTAAGGGAAGGTTTCTAATGAGAGAAAGATTCATGAAAAGACCTACTCCATTTCCTACTCTGAACAGAGGCCCAAGGCCCAGGTAGGAAAAGTCTCGCAATAACCAAGGAGGGAATAACTGTTGGTAAGGAGAGTTAACTTTTCCAAATTTTGCCCAAGTATAGCAAACCTGTAATCATTCTGGGATCTGGCAGAGGCTGTTGTTTATTCATAGACATGGAAGAGAGGCTGTAGTGACACAGACAGAGGGGGCCCCACTGTGTGCCTGCTCTTAGGGTGGAAAGGGCATCTATGCAACTGCTATGTCATCTAGCACTGGGTTAAACCCTGGCTCTGGGTCACTTTACTTCAAACCATTTATGGTCTCAAATAATGTGGCAATGTGGAGTCCTAGCCCTATGGTATTGCCTGCTGCTGAATGATTTTATTTCATTTTATTTTTTTTTGAATTAGGTTTTAAAGGACCTAATCTAAGAAGCCATGCAGCTTCTAATGCAGATGGCAGCTGGGTAGCTCTGATTTTGAATCTACCGAGGGAACTGAGCTGAGCTGGGAACTGAGGATGGAAGGAGGGAAGGGTAGGATCCTGTAGACTGGGGACCATCCCTCAAGTATGGCTGGTGCTCTCAGTCATTCCTTGTGCTGCTGACAGCTGATGTTTGCCTTATCTTTCTGGGTTCAAGACCTGATACCCAGCAGCCACTCCACGAATCTGTCTGCTAGGCACTTCTGGCAGCCATTCTCAATCAGAAAAAGTATGGTCTTTAGTCTTAGAAGACCCTGCTGAGATAAGCCCTCCTCCATACCAGTACCTACAACTGCAGCCTGAAGAGATCCCCCCTCCCATGTTCTTTCAGTGTGTCCACAGCACTGCTTTTTAGCTACCTTTCCATGTGGGCTTTGTCTTGCCAGACTGTGACTCTGAATATCTAGCATTGGTACTTGGCACAAACCAGATACAATGTGTGGAATTAAACTGAAATGCCACATCCTAAGAACTCTGCTGACTTCCTTTTTCCTGAGGATGGATGACTCATAAATCTGAAACTGCTGAGAAGGCAGATTCATCAAATTGCTGTTGTGTGTCATCCCAGGCTATATTCTGGGGAGAAAAAGATGAAGATGGAAATGCTGGTTACAGATAACTCAGCCTGGCAGAGAAACTAGATATAGCATTGAGAACCAATAACTACACAAGTTACTCTGGAACACAGCCCTATGTTCCAAACACAGGTAGTGTTTAGACTGAATCTTGAAAGTTGAGGGAGGGTTAAACAGGTAAGGTGGCAGAGGTCAGGAAGTATAAGGCTCAGGGAGAGTTCCTGTGGCAATAGGAAACTTTTGTTGGGGGAGTGTTGTGGAGGCAGGAGGGAAAGCAGAAAGGCAGACTGGCCCCTAAGTTTCAGGTGTGCTGGGGGCTGATGCCCACCCATTGGCTGGCTGATGTCTGGGTAAGCATGGGTAGATCATGTTGACAAGCTTTGGTCATTGTTTGTCCTCCAAGAAATTCATCCTAAGAATACTGATACCACACCAAGCAAGGAGTTCAAGAAGCCTTTTTCATCATTTGATGATTTTTCAGCTGTCACTATCTAGAATTCCTTTGTATAAACAGGGATCACTATATGATGACTTAATGGTTTAAAACCAGGAATGAAGCTGTGAGCTCAGTCATAGTGGGCTTGCCCTGCATATGTGAGGTTCTGGGTTCTATACTCAATACCAGAAGACAAAAAATAAAAGTGCCTAAATAAATATCTAATACTCCCTTCACTAATCTAGCCTTAGTTTCTGGCTTAATAGGCTTATGACTTTGTCACTGTAGGCTTATAATTAACACAGACTTGTAAATAATGAAAAAAATATGATTAGTCACAGCTTTTTATCTTAGCTTGCCCTCCCAACAGGCTGGAGGGAAGTATAAAATCTTCAACTTTTTTAATGGCTTGAATTAAATTACGACTATACTGAGTAAAGGAGCTGAACAAATCATATGAACTTTAGGGTGAAAGAAATAGGAATGAACCACACCCCCCACCCTCTGTTTACTATTTGGTTGGAAGAAAGCCAAGAGATCTGGCAACCTCATACTTTTAAAAACAACACGTATCTTTTATTCTCCTTCCAGTCTCAGTGTCCAGAGGCTGTTTAACAGGGTTTCAAAGTGCAAATCATTTCATCCCTCCAGAGCGAGAGGGAATACAAACTGTACATCATTTCCAATCCATGTTCACCAGGAGTGCCCCAGGACTTATCTTCCTCCTGGTACTGGACCACAGTTCAGGGTCTGGCGAAAAGAGGTTTGGAGGACTCGGTGTTTGGCCCCTTGAGATGAAATTAATTCTCCAATAGCCCGAATGCCCCTTGGGGAGGTGGCAACACGTGGGCGGGCAAGCGAAGAATCTCTAGATAGCTAGCAGGGTGTGGATGGAGTTAGAACCTCAGAACATTGCTATCAGCCATGATGAAGCTAGGGTCAGAGGTAAGCCTGCTGGACAGGAATAGACATCTACAAAGGCATTGCTAGGGGAGGGCAATACAGAGGGCTACAGCCATAGGAACAATGAAGAGTGATTTCTTCTGGTGTGGAAGAGGGCTAGGGGGTCACAGCATGAATCAGGAGCTCAGGATTTCCTTGGGGCTTAGTGTTCTCCCTTGTTCTCCACATCAGTGAATGTAGGAAAGGGAGGAACAGACATATGACATCTAAATAACCCACTTGGTGGAGCAGCCTGGTGGAAGACACATGAGACTGAATCTTCAAACAGACAGGGGTCAAAGAAGACATCAAACACTATTCAATTAAGTATTGGAAAAGTGAAGGCACCTCTAAGAAATAATACAAAGCCAAGTTGCATAAAATGTTCAAAGCTTTGATGAAGGGTTGACTGTAAGACTGCTGGGAAGGTCTGTTTCTGAGGGAACACAGAAAATACCCTGCCACAGCATGACAACAGACCCACGTAAGCCTCCTTAGCCCTGTTCATCTACCTTGTAGCAGCAAAGAACACTGTAGGCTGTTAGGCTAGGGGAGCTGATAGCCCTTTGTGCAGCACAGGAGTGGAGTGAGGTTAGTCCAGGGGTGAGGCTGGGTGGTGTAAATCTTTTAGGGGAGCAGAAAATGAAAAGCAGAGCTTACTTGTTGATGTTTGCAAGATAAATATCAGCTACATGACCCCCACTGGGACAGCTGGCCCCCGCTCTGGCTGTCACCTTTTCTTCAGGTGGCTCAGACATGACCTCAATCTCAGACTTGGGACTGGACCTCTCCACGACACCGTCCTCGCTGGGGGAGAAGGGACAGGCAGGCAGGGAGGAGGGAAAACAACACAAAAAGCAGTGTTAAATCAGCAAGATGGCCCCCCTGGACATACACATGACCCCACACAGCTTGGAGACAGCAGCAACCCCTGGTGGGGCTAACTCTGAGCACAGGCAAGGGAACCTGAGGGCCTTCGGAGGGTCACTTAAATAAAAATAAATAATCCGCTGAGCTCTCTGTGATCCCCAGCTCCTCATGAAAGCACCTGGATTGGAGGCATCTGCCTTTGACCCCATGCTGCTTTCCTGGGGTGGCCATGATGGGGCCACCTCCTGGAGAAGAAAGTGGAAGTCCAGGTTGAGGTTTATCTGCTGAGGTTCTGAGCACTGCTGGTAAGGACAGTCAGCTCTGCAGTGACTTTGGAGATGCCAGCGTTGAGGCAGGACGTGGACACATGGCCACACTGTCGTAGCACATCTAGCCTCGCCTTAGTGTGTCCAAGATGGTCCCAGGTCTCTCCACTGCTCTCCTGGCCCCTCTGGCTACTGATGACAAAGAAAGCCCCTTCTCCCCCACAATTCATCTTCTCTCGATCCTGTAGTGAAGTCATAATGCTAAATTTGGGAGGGTCCTGTCCACGCACAGATCGCCACCAGGATTGCGATGTTATCAACACAGGGAGGATTTCCCCGCAGAAGGAGCCCAGGAGAGGCTGGGAGGGTGCAGACTCATTCAGGATATCAACCTTTAAAAAAATAATAGTAAGGGAAGGACTAAAAACAGTGACAATGCTGTATCCCAGAGAAGTGAGTCAGGGCAGAGGTAGGGGTAGGGAGGCCGGCTTAGGTGGACCACAAGATTCATTGCTTCCTGTCCAGGAGACACTGCTTCAAAGGGTGGGAACCAATGGACAGCCCATCCAATGAGACCTCTTGAACCAGCTGCTTTCCCTTGTTTTCTGATAGCCTTTTCTCTATGTCCCACTTTTCTTCTTCCGTAAGGGTACTTCATACAGATTTCTACCAGAAAGTAGCTTGCCATTTTCATTTGCAAGTGGAAAAATACCACTGGCGGCTCAGCAGGTTGGGATAGGGTATAGGTAGTTGTTTAAAAGAGAAGCCAAGCATGGTAGCTCATGCCTGCAATCCTAGCACCGAGGAGGCTAAGGCAGGAGGACTGCTATGAGCTCAAGGCCAGCCTGGGCTATAGAGTGAGAACTTATCTAAAAAAAACAGAAACAAATAAACAAAAAAATCAGAGAAGCAAAAATTGTTCCCCAACCTGATCTTTCCAGAAAGGAAGCATGTATCATTATCACTCATAGGTAGAAACGTGAATGAGTGTTGGCTGGCAGACATCTAAAACAAACAGATCAGATAGCGATTTAATGGGAGAACAGAAAGTGGCAAGACTAAAAAAAAATTCTCCACTGAGTTGTGGGCAAGGGAGTGGGGGTGGTGCTCCATGGAACTGTAAGCCTCAGGGCCCCCTGGGGGAATAGTCTCTGTTATACTCCTAAAGAAGCCTCATTCCCACAGTGCAGTAGAGACCACCCACAAAGGTGCCAGGGTTCCACTCACGTCTCTTGGACTACGATGTACTGATGGGGGATGAGTCCATCTATACCATTGTGTCGGCCTTCCCACCAATCATCAGAAGCCCGCTGGTAAAGCAGCAAGGATGCTCCCTTCTTGAAAGACAACTCTCGGGCTGTCCGGCCCACGTAGTCAAACTTGGCAATGGCCTCAATGGGCTCACATTCTGGGAGAAGCAGAAAAGAAGGAAACACATATAGCTGGGATCTACAGATTCAGCAAACTGGGCAAAAAGCCTAGTGAGCTGGACTTGCAGTGGTGGGAGGATAACTCTGTGTGAAAAATAAGTACACATGATCTATAAAGATCTAACAGCCTCGTGTTCTCTCTCCCGCCTTTGCACCTGCTCCACCTCTCCCTTTCCTCTGCCTGAGATAGCACCTGGAGATACTGCTTTCTATGATAACTTCTTTGTTGATTCCAGGGCTCTTTATGCTGATGTCTCCTATTATCAAAATTGCCACTTTTTATTTTTTTAGGAGTAATGTGGATTGAACCCAAGGCTTCATACATGTTAGGTAAGTGCTCTACCAATGAACTATAATTCCAGTCCATCATACTGTATTTTTAAACGTTATTTCTTCTTTTCTGATTATATATTAAGTTCAACTACATAACACCTACTATTAAGCAATTTGTTTATGTTATACAGTCTTCCTGGTAGAATATAAAATATGGGAAATATTTTGTAAAAAATATATGGAAATGCATATGAAAGTAATTTGAAAAATTGAAAGGGGTTTACAAGTACAAAGCATTTTTACTTCTGTGTGGGTCTGTGTTTAGCTGTAAAATGAGGATGATAGTAATAGTGTCCTTTTATGAAGCTGTTATGAAGAATCAATAAATTACAACTTGTGAAAAGCTTAGAATAGTGACTAGCATTGTGGTATGTGTGTATTAGTCATTATCATTATTTTTATCTGTTCTAGGCTGCAGGTGGAGATTAATAAAACGCTCTCCAAAATCACTGAACCATAAAGTCATATACACTGGGTAGCAGAGAAGGAGGCTGTTTAAAAACAAGACCATGCCTATAACAAGCCCTGGCTGGCAGGTCTGCTCCTAAATAGACTGGGCTGGAGAGCTCACTGCAGGAGCACATCACAGAAGTCTTGCCCTAGCATCCCAGTCTCAGTTTTCTACAGCCTCAGGTACCTCCCCGACCTCAATTTCTCAGCTACCCTTTCTGTTTCACTAGAGATAAAACTTCTGTATGAGAACAAGGCTGCTCTAACCTACACTGAATTCTCTAGTTCATATACTTGTAATGATCATGCTGATCCTTCTTATATCAGGATCTAAACAAGAAGCCCTATTTTCCCCCCATTAAAAGCTAGCTTCAGATTGTAGAACTCCAAGCAAGGCAGGGAGGTGGGGATGGGGTGGGGTGGTGGTAGGGGGGATGCAGGCAAAGCTTTGGAGACCATGTCATTTAACTCTGTCCAGAAAACTCTGCAGCCCCTTGTCAACTGCTGAGACTTCCAGACACTAAGTGATCCAGAAATGGAGGTATAGAAGTGTTGGAAGCAGGGAATGTGCTGGCTAGACAAACCCTAATAAATCATGGGCACTCCAGAGGGGCTCCAGGATGACAGCTGAGCATTCCAACCCTGGATGCACACTCACCAGGCTGTTCCGCACACACAAATTTGTATTTTGGACGGATCAATTTTTCCAGCTGGCAGGCATGCAAGCATGTGGTTTCTGTGTCCTCATCCCCACTCCCCTCGCTTGCTTCTGTTGGGTTCTTGGCACCCAGCTTCTCTATTCCCCAATCTTGCTGTTTTTCAAATGTGCCTTCCTTTGCTTTGGTCTCCAGCCACTTGGCAGAAATGAGGGATTGATATCTGCTGGATTCAGGCTAGATAAGGAACTAAGAGGTGGGACAAAGAAGCTGAAGGGCTACAAAAAGCCTAGTTCTTCACCTTTGATTTAATTTCTATTTGAATGTTCCTCCAAAGGAAGGAGAGACAAGGAAGCTCCCTGCCTCTCCTCGGGGACTCATGAACAGCACAGCTGATCAAATGCACAATATACATATCCACTTCTGCTTTATCCAACAGCTGCACTGAACAGGAAGTGGGGCAGCATACCGTCATCACTTGTGTGGTGCTCTATGGTCACATCCTGGGTGGAGTCCTCAGCGGAGGTAGTTTCTCCATGAGGACTGTCACTGAAACAGAAGCAAGAGTGACTGGGACATCAGTATTTCTCACAACATTTTCTTCTTCCCCTGACAGCTTCTTTGGAGCAGAGGCATTGAATCAACTGTGGGCTTGCTATAAATCTTAAGAATACATAGCCATCAAATGCTAAGAGTAAAATATCTATCTCTAGAAGTTCTCTAGTTTAGCTCCTACTACAAAAACCACTTGTCACTGTTTGGGACTTAGAATGCCCTGAGAAAGAGGGAAGGCCCTTTGAAGGTATCAAATAAACTCTTTAGAAAACATAGAAGTACTCAACTATTCAAAAGTCAATTCTCTTCATGAATGTATTCCTGGTCAAGGAGGGAGTATGGCAGAAAGGAAGCCCTGGGTTTCTGTACCAGATACAACTGGACTTGAAAACCAGATTTCATGTTTAGTAGTTATATAACTACCTCTGGGCAAATGACTTAATCTCTTTATGCTTCAGGTACCCCATCCATATATCGAAGACATCGTTTGTCTACCTCACAGAATTATGTGAGGAGTCAATGACATAATTTAATGAAGGCTTTGGCATGCTTAATAGGCGTTAGCGCCTTTCCTTCTTCCTTTTCTGCTTGATGTCCCTAATGGGCTTTGTGGTTTAATCTATATACCTGTCAAAAAGCAGAGGGTGAGTATAGGTGTGTGTGGAAGACAAGAACGAGGAAAGAAGAATCTACTCCAGATTAGATTCAAGAGGTCAGGGATAAAAGCCAGGTCAGTCTTTAAGAAAAACTTATGTTCTCTTAAATCGTCCAGAGTGGAGAATTGAGAATGGCCAGAGAAGTTACTGAGAAAGTATTTCTACTCCTATCTCCTGACTCAGGGGCTTCAGAGTAGATGGGAGTTGTTTTTTTCCCCCTTGGTTTAAAGGGAGTTCTTTTTTAAAAAAATTTATTTCTATTCTTTCATTATTTTTATTTTATGTGTATGAATGTATTGTCTGCATTGTCTGCATGTATGTAAGTGCACCCACATCGTGCATCCACAGAAGACAGAAGAGGATGTTGGATTTCCCTGGAACTGGAGTTACGAACAGTTGTTAGCCACCATGTAGGGCCTGGGAATTGAACCCAGGTCCTCTGCAAGAGTAGCCAGTACTCTTAACTGCTGAGCCATCTCTCCAGTCCCAGAAGTTCTTACTTCTTAAAGAATAGGAAAAAAACTGATCCTGTCTTGAGTTGGCTCCGCTGGCAGTAGGTAGCAATAGAGAAGCCTTTCCAGGCAGAGCCTCTGTTCCAGCCCACAACCCATCTTCCCTGCAGCTTCTTCCTATCTACTGTACAGGCCCCACCCTCCTAGGAAGCTCCTCAAAGATAATGTAACCAATTCAGGACCTACCCTGGGGAAGCAAGTCAGTCCTAAGGAGGTTTCTTAGACTCCAGAGGACATTCTGATAGAACATCAATAGATTCTTCTTTGTCAAAAGATGTAGGCACAATTCTTTATTGTTGTCTGGGCCTAAAAACCCTCTCTTGATTTTGGTGACATTCTGGAAATCTACCATTGGTGCACAGGGCAAAGGCATATCTTTCCCCAGGGTGAAGACTCATTTCTGTGGCCACCAAGGCAACAGTTCCCAAACTGTAGGGAGCCCTAGAGGACCTGTAAAAATCCCACCCTACTCTGAGAGTTTCTGAGTCACTAGATTTGGCTGGAGCTTGAGAATCTGCAATTCATTCTGGTTCCACAGGACCTGGTGCTGTTGGTTTGGACTTTCCACTTTGAAAACTTGGCACCATGGTAAAGGTAAGGTGATGCTTTTGGAGGTTCCATGTATTCCTAAAATCCATGCTTCTCTCATTTCATACTCCTGGCCCTGACAACACTCCCGATCCATCAACACCTGAGGTTCAAGGAGGAGCTTGCCATGTGCCCTAGCAGCAGTCCTATGCAACTTGGATCCTGTTTTAGGACTGGCAAGTGAGCTCAAAGTGTTTCCCATAGCTATGGGGAGGCCAAGCAGGTGCCTGTTCTCCCTGGTGGTCCTGGTCTCTTGGCCATTCTCCAGGATTTGGGAAGCTTATCTTTTTACTACTTTAGCTCAGTTTGATTCCCCCTGCTCCCCCCTCTTGAAGAAGAGAGAGGAGAGGTCAGGAGCATGATCACTGACTATTGCTCCTTAGTGGCTCAAGGTCTCGGGTACTAAAGTTTTCTAATTGTGTAGTGTTTCCAGAGGCCACTAATAAATGTCACATGCATAAAACATGGGGTAGAAACTGAGGAAAACACCTTGGAGAAAATGGGAGGAAAGGGTTTTCATGTGTGTGCCCAAGTGAGTCTCATTCTTTGGTCTACAGGGAGCAGGGGACACGATGCCCCTGCATTAATCCAGAACCTGAGTGTTCAACATCTAAGAAGGGATGGCAGACTTTAGAAGACAAGTGAAAGCAAGAATCGAAAACACTATTCCATAGATCTTCACTACTCATGCAAAGGGGAGTCACTTGTAGGAGAATAGATTTCTGCAGCTCACTAGCTAAGATCTAAACTGATCAACCTCCCCAGTCACCACTTATCAGTGACAGAAAGCTTTCTCTCTAAGCCATCCAGCTGAGGTACCTCCAGCTCAGATCTATAGTCCTGCAAATATATATATAGTCCTGGGATCTATAGTCCTGCAAAGAGAAATGAATCCAAGACTATTACTGCCATAAGAAGTTCACAGAGGCACTCTGTGGGTGGGAAGCTGTTCTGTGGGATTCAGGAGAAGCACTGACAAATTGGCCTCTAATTAATAAACACTCTCCCTGTCCTCCCTATTTTGGTTGATAGCACTGGAACTGGCAGGATTGGTTCTAGATATTAAATTTAGATGGAATCTGATTTGGGATGGCTTATGATTTTAGCTCACATTGAAAAAAAATATGGGAAAAAAGGGAGGCGGTATGGGACATTGGGGATTATTACAGAGACAGTTGCCTTTGTGTCTAGTGAAAAATGACACTATAAAGTGGTATCACGGTGTCTATGTGGGGTACTAGGCAGGGCCCTGGCCTGGGACATAAGAGATCAAGATTGAATCCCTAGTCACTGGGTTGGGTTAAAACATTGTCACTGGCTTCTCTGGGTTGCAGGGATTTCATGCATAAAATGGGAACTAAGATTCCACTTTATGGAAATGATTTATTTGTCTAAAGGAGGGGCCTAGCACAAATATACTTTGGGATTTCTTTTAGAACTATACTCAGGCTAAGTCATAAAAACCTTGCCCTACACAATTTTGAATTGTTTCATGGTGGTACTGTGACTAATCTACCCAAAATAAGCTTACATCTTTTCCTCTTCACAAGTTTCTGAAATCATTGTGATGTGCCATCTTACAAACTCACATTCAGGAGATACTGCCTCATATCTAGACTCTTCCTCACAAGAACAGGATTCCCTAGGATCTAGTACTGTTTTACTCACAACATACAATACATTGTTTATCTCATTCTGCACTGTATGACACTGCTGACTGATGAATATCAAGTCTAAATACTACTTCGTAAAATCTCCTTTCCTTGAGAATTGCTGTTAATGCTGTAATTGTTTTTGCAGGATGGTCTCTTGCCACACAACACTCATAAAAAATCCAGAGATGAGTGAAGTAATGCTTATTCCATAGGTGAGTTCAAGGTAGAGGGATAGTCAGACCCTGGCAACCAACAGAGCCTATGAGTACAGATGGAAAGACCTGGCTGTTTCCCTTTGGGTTTTGCTTTACCATCTGGCCCCAACACCAGAGAGTATGAGGCACTCCCTCCCTTCCTCCAGCCCCCAGCCCCCTACCAGTAATCCTCCATGCTTCCTCCTCTGCTGTAGATGGGGCCCTCCAGCTCCCTGGGGTTTGGGAAGATGTTCTCATGCTGGATGATGATAGTTTTGATCAGCTCATTCACGTGGGCTTGACAGGACACCTGGTCGTGGCCCTCTGGCACTGACATCAGTGAAGGCCCGAAGCAGATGGCAAGGTTGTAGGGGTCCATCATATTCTCTTCACTGAACTGTGATAAGCTGGGGGAGAAGGAAAAGAGGAGAAATTGGAAAGCTCACTCATGAATACCCAGAAAACACATATACAGGAGGTGAAGGCACTGCCAGGAGCAAAGGCAGAGGTCCACAAATTGCCACCTGCCTTTCTGGGCATCAGAAGCCTTCTGGAAAGTCAGCTGGGGAGAAGAGAGTGACTACTGAATGGTCACTTGGAAGCCAAGGAAAGGAAAGGTGCAGGATCTGCTTGCAGGTCTGATCCCTCCTTTCTCTCCAGTTCTCCAATTTGAGTCCTTATGAGCCTCATCCTCACCTTTACCCTTGACATCATCCATCAAAGCCACCCTACTTTGAGAGCATATCACCCATCACTGCAGAACTGAATATGGCTCCCATGGACCAACCCACTAAGTTGTAAGCAGGTGAGACCTTGGCTTGCCCTGGTAATGCTATAGTCTGCAGAGATAGAACTGTGTATCATGTGCCTTTTTATATACAAAAGAATCAAATTAATAGGAATTTTCTATTCCAATCTCTAGACTCACTAGAAAAACAACCAACTGATTAGCTTTTGTATTCTATTAGGATAGTGAATTTCTTTCACTGTCTAATAAACAACTAATGTGATTGCTTAACATTTTCCTAATATCCTTCTGTATTTATTACATCCAGGAATTATTTGTGCATTCTGTTTGGATTCTGTTTGGGGTTCCCTTAGATGTAGCCTAACTTCATTATTGCTTATTTATTTATTTTGAGAACTCCCTAATCTCAGCCAGCAGCTGCTCTAGCCACACCTTTGACCTTGGAAAGGATCCAAGCCCTCAGTCACTATGCCTGATGAGTCTCCATGGGTCCCTGACTGTCCTAGCACAGAGGGCTGGGCTGACTTTGGATAGATCCTCTTCAAAACTGCAGGACTATAGGCACCGCTGAGGAGTTTTGGTTTCCTGATGGTCATCAGCAGTAGGTTCTGACTGCCCAACTCTAACAGATCCTGAAAAGCAACCAGAGTCTTTGGATGCTGTGGCTATTCTTTTGGATTGGGTAAAGTTTATTCTAATATGCCCCATATCCAACTCATGTGACAAAGCTGGTTTCCCTCTAATAAATGGCTTTCTATTGTCCTGGGAGACTCTGACATGCACCTTGTGTTTTTTCTATATAATCACTGTAGGGCATTAGAAATGGTATGGTAGGTGTGAACAACTGTCACCAGGTTGGCCTGTGGGCATGTAGAAGGGCCCAGCCTACTGTGGGTAGTACCATCCCTAGGCAGGTAGTCTTGGGCTGTATAAGAAAGCTATCTTGGGAGTAAGCCAGTAAGTATTCTTCCATGGTTTCTGCTTCAGAACTCCTGCTTCGAGTTCCTGCCCTGGCTTCCCTCGATGATGGATTGTTAAGTGAAATAAAATCTTTCCTCCCCAAGTTTCTTTTGGTCATAGTATATATCACAGTAAAAGAAAGCAAAACAGAGCAATCCTTTACTCTCTTCCAATCCACTCTGAGAACATGTAAGTTTAGGGGCTAAAACAGTGGTTCTTTATTATTTGGGACACAGGAATTTGACAACAGAGTTGCGCAGAGCAGTACAGACTTTCAGTTCCAGCCTAAACAACAACAACAACAACAACAAATCTTTGTATTTGTATTGTTTTTAATTTAATTTTGGTGTTGACTTATTATCTATGTCATTCCTCTCAGAATCTGGATTTCTATAGTTTCAGTCCATAACAATAGCAAAATTTTCTTTCTCTTTAAAGAAATATTTTCTTTTTTATACCAGGCATGGTGGCATGTGCCTTTAATCCTAGCCCACCAGCAGAGGCAGTTGGATCTCTGTGAGATCAAGGCCACCCTGGTTCACATCTTGAATTCCAGGTGGGCTGTGACTAGGGAGACCCTGTCAAGAAACAATCAACAAAAAGACCAACATACTCTGTTCCAAAGGCCAAAAATGTCAAAAGTATTTGGGAGCTTGTATCTAATCCTTAAAAATGTTGGAGGGGAGGGAGTGGGCATGGATTTGATCAAAACACCTTATATACATGTATGAAATTCTCAATAAAGTTTTTGCAAAAATTAAAAAAAAAGACCCAAAAGATTTTTTTTTTAAATTTTATATGTATGAGTATACTGCCTGCATGTAAATGCACCTGTGTTATGTAATGCTCGGGGAAATTAGAAGAAGGTGCCAGAACCCCTGGAACTGGAGCTACCGATGGTTGTTAGCTGCCATGTGGTTGCTAGGAATAGAGCTTGGGTCCTCTGCAAGAGAAGCCAGTGCTCTTAACCACTGAGCCATCGATGGCTCCAGCCCCAACAGTGAAAATTTCTAATTGATTTGCATTCATTTTCTTTTGGTACATCTTTAAAAAGTTCAGTATTGTGGTGAGGAATCAAGTTTTTTTTTTTTTTCTTTTTCTTTCTTTTTTTTTTTTTTTAAATGAGGGCAGGATAAGGCAAGCAGGATGGGCATAGAAACACTTTCACCATGAATTCTTCTGAATTTTTAACGTTTTTCATATGCACATTTGTGTGGCTAAAAAAAAGAAAGGTTGGAGAGATGGCTCAGTGGTTAAGAGCACTGGATGCTCTTACAGAAGATCCTGGTTTGGTTCCCAAAATCCACATGGTGGCGAACAACCATTAGTAACTCCAGTTCCAGGGGATTCAATGTTCTCTTCTGGCCTTTGCAGGCACTGCATGTGTGTGATACATCTACATACATGCAAGCAAAACACTTATACACATAAAAATAAGTAAATCAAAAAAAAAGAAAAGAAAAAAAAATCAAACCTCCAAACCCTCAGAGATGTTGGGCAAGTGCTCTACCACTGCGCAGTTGCTATTCTGATATAGGACCCTCCATTCTAGGCAGTGAATGGAAGGCAGGGCTGCTGATGTTTGGCAATAATTTATAGGCTTCTACCTATCTTCTTCCCCCAACAGGCATTATCTGGCATGTTAAGGATTTTAGATCTCAAAATCAAAGCTTCAAATCCTTAGAGATTTTTTGTTGCTGTCTTTTTTTCTTTTGTGGTGCTGTGGGGCTTGAACCTAGAGCCTCAAGTTGCATGTTCTGTCAGTGAATCACACTCCCAACCCAAAGGTTTGAATGGGATGAGGAGAAGGTGTGTTATTAGTGATTGCCCCAGACATAGGTGGGGGTGAGCAGAAAGGATGGGCCTTCAAAAAGCTTTCACAGGAGGCCTCAGAATCCCTTTCTCCACAGCCATGATTTGAAAACTTTGCCCTGGTTCAGATCTAAGAGACAGGAAAGAAAAAAGTAATTCCAGCTGATTCTTTCTAGTGGCCCCACAAAGGCATTTCCTTAGGTCCTCTGCACTACTCACATCTACTGGCTGGCTTGTTCTGTCTTCCTTCTTATGCAGTAAACTCTATGCTCTCTCATCTTCAGTCCTAGCTCAGTCATTGCCCTTACTCTTCATTCATCATCAGTTTTCTTTTCTACTAAACTTACCAACATGCACTAATGCCTCCTACCTTAAAGCATCCTGTTTTACTCCTATATCCATGGCAGATGGCTGACTCATGTCTTTGCTCCTTTTTATAATGAAACTCTTTGACTATTAAACAATTCTACTCTGATTCTCTGATTTCTTCTGTGTCCCCTAAATTCTTATGTTGAAGACCTAATGTGGCTGTATTAGGAGATGGGGCCTTTAAGAAGATAATTCCAGTTAAATGAGATCATAAATGTGGAGTCTTAACACTAAGACCAGTGTCCTTCCAGGAAAAGGAGAACAGTTCTGAACTGTGCACAGAGGAAGGAAAGGCTATGTGCGGACATAGCGGGAGGGTGGCTGGCACAAATCACAAAACAGAAACATGAAAAAGTCAGGCAACATGTAACTCCTCCTGAAAATAACCCCTTAAATACTGAATCCAAAGAAACTGAAATAGGTAAAATGCCAGAGGAATATTCACAAGTAAAAATAACCAATGACCTCAAAGGCGATACAACCAAATATATAAATCAACCTAATATCCGGAAAGAGACATCAGCAACACAGAGGAAAACGTTGGCAAAATAGATGCAAAAACCACCAAATACAGATGAAAAACAGAAAATGGTGAAAAAAATCAGCTACGAACTCTGATTTTGAAAAAAAAAACTTGCTGTGCATGGTGAGTTTTGGGGGCACGCCTTTAGTCTTAGCCCTTGGGAGGCTGAGGTAGGAGGACCTCTGTGAGTTCAAGGCCAGCTTGGTCTACATAGTAAGTTCCAGGTCAGCTACAGGGAGACCCTGTCTCAAAAACAAAACAAATAGGGGCTGGAGAGATGGCTCAGTGGTTGAGAGCATCTCTTGCAGAGGATGTGGGATCGATTCTCAGCACCCACATGGTGGCTATGAACCATCCTTAACTCCAGTTCCAGGGGAATCCAAAGCTCTCTTCTGACCTCCGTGGCGCTGCATGGCATGGGTGCACTCACATGCATGCAGGCAATACACTCATGCACTAAAAATAATAAATAAAATATTAAAACAAACAAACAAAAACCAAAAACTAACAAGCAAACAAAAAAAAAACACCCTTCAAACAGAAATGTTTGAAATGAAGAATTCATTCAATAATAGTTAAAAAAAAAATCCCACCGTGGAGAGCATTACGAACATGTGACCAAACAAAACAGAGGAAACTATCATGGATGGAGGACTTGGTCAAAGAAATCTATATTCAATCAATAAAGAAAATAAAGAATAAGCATGACCATAATGTCCATGTCCATGGATTCTAAGACAAATCAGGAGCCCAAACCTAGGAATCTAAGAAGAGAGAAATAAGCAGCTAAGGTAGACATGAAGGCACATAGAGTCTAGAGAAAGTAATGGACATCAAAACACAAAAGGGACTTAGAACTGCCGACTTGAGAAGAATTTCTCCACGACAAAGACAAGATGTCAAATCTACAAAGCAAAGGGGCTGGAGAGATGGCTCAGCGGTTAAGAACACTGACTGTTCTTGCAGAAGACCCGGGCTCAAATCCCAGCACCCAC